GAGCCCCTGGCTCCAGATAATCCGTTGCTAAGGTGCTGGGGTCCTTGGCATTACGCTCAGCTATGGGCTCACCAGGAGCCATAGGGCGTTGCTTTTCGATGTCATGAACACCCATCGTGGTGGTCTAGACACTAAGAGGGCCATGTTAGCTGGGGTCCTACATTAAGATATCGGAAGTATGCCGAGACTCACCAAAGTATTGATCCAGTCAATCTCAGCCTTATAGTTGAGCTCTTCCCGAATAGGCAAGTGTTGGAGACTTGGAGGAGAGACACCACGTGATCCACAGCGGAGAAGCCCAAATCCGGCAGTCAAACTGGCAGCTGAAACTATCTACTAGTTATCTAAGTTGATACTAGCAGTAGTGTGTCTGCACTGCACAGCACGCATGAACGAAAAGAATATGATCAAAAGGAAGAGCGCATCCCGGCGAATGACCCTCATGTCGCCATCACATCCTTGACGCTGAAAATTTGCTCTTTAGCGGATGGCGTGCTCGATTGGTGTTACGTACAGCAAATGGAAGGGCGACAGAATCCTTGGGGATGAAGAGAACAATTTGCCGATTGCCGCCTGGGGTTCCCCACCTGCTCGGCTAACTCTTAAGCATACATACATGACTTTAGACGCAGCTGTTATCTACTTCTATCTATTACTACCACTACAATATTCCCACATTCAATCAAAGGAAATGTCCCAAAGGACTATTGTATCGTGCTATGTACATGGCTATGCTGCCGGAATCTCATAAACTTTTGACACTCTCCGCTGATGAACAATGAAAGAAACTTAGACAGAAAGGGATATATCCACCAAAGACACAATGTATACACACTAAAATCACCCCAGCAAGCCAGCGGCCAGCGACTCCAGATCTTCCAGAGTCTCGATCTGCTCCGGTGCTTTGCCAGCTGGTTGAGACTTCTTGGCCTTCTTGGGTTTGGGCTCCTCCTCGCTTGCTTCGTCTGCAAAGGAGACTCGCGCCTTCTTGCTGGGCCGGAGTACCTCCTCGTCTTCGTCCGAAGCGAGCCCGCCCTCCTTGTACGGGATCTGGACCAAATCCCCTCCTTCTTCCTCCATGGCAAGAAGCTCGCGCTCGCGGGCCTTGCGCTTCTCCTTCTTCTCGCGCTTCTTCTGCTTGGCGACTTCCTTGTCCTCCAAATCCGCTTGCCGAGTGCGCTCCGCTTCCTCCGCCAGGAACTTCGCCTGCTGCTCCTTGGCGTCGCCCTTGGCCTTGAACTGTTCTTCGTCCTCCATTTCGTACAGCTCGTGAGCATTGCCCTCATCATCGTAGATAAGCTTCGTGCCCTTGCCCTTGAACTTGAGAAGCTTCTTCTTCGACTTGAGCAGCTTCTCGCGGCGTTTCGAGTCAATGACCAGGGCCTCCTTGCCATCGAGATGGACCACCTTGGCTCCCTTCTTCTCCGTTCCGTCCGCATCCTCCTCATCCTCCGAGCTAGATCCTCCGACATCCAGATCCTTGTCACCGGCCTCGTAGCGACGCTTGACGGACAAGAAGTCGTCGTCTTCATCCGCATCCTCAGTAGCCTTATTAGTTTCCACCATCGTGCCGTCGTCGTTAATGAGCTTGTGGTAATGGTCGGCCAACACGTCCTGGTTCCGACGCTCAAACATGCGGTCATACTTCGTCCGCACCTGCGTCTCATCCTTCTTAGTCTTCTTCTTTTCACCCTCTTCGTCAGACTCGTCATCGCTGGACAGGTATGCCGTAGCACGGGGCGCGTTCTTCCGCTCCTTGGTATCATCACCTTTAATGAACTTGATGCGAGGTGCACCCGGAAGTCCCAAGCTGCCCGCAAATTCATCCAGCTTCAGCTCCTTGATGTTGAAGATCTCCTTGTCCTTCTGGACGTAGACCGACTTAGCGTAGGAAATAAAGGCCTTCTGGCCCAGATACTTCAATTCGGGATCCTTGAAGCACATGTTTTGCAGCTGATCTTTAATGCTCTGTTGCTTGTTGGCCTTGACGTTGATGCGTTCGACCTGGACCTTCTTCTGCTCCAAACGCTTCAACATGCCCTTCTCCTCACTAGGATCCAGGAACAGCACGGCACGACCATCGCGCTCGTATCTAGCTGTACGACCAACACGGTGAATATAGGTATCGGCATCTTCAGGACAGTCCAGTTGGATGACCCAGTCGACGGCCGGAAAGTCCAGACCACGCGCAGCAACATCGGTGGCGAACAGAACTGCATGTTGGGCCGAGGAGAACTTGGTAGTAATATCGAGTCGACCACCCTGCTTCTGACGTCCGTGAAGGTGCATCAACGGGACACCGGGTTGCATGTGACGGAAGGATTCGTAGACAAAACGCACCTGCTTTCCTGATGACAGGAAAACGATCGTCTTGGACTTCAGGTTGCTCCGAATAAAACTCCATAGAACATCGAGTTTCTGCGGGAGGGGCGTAACGACGTAATGTTGCTGAAGCTTGGACGGCGTAGCGGAGGAGGCCGCCTCATGAACAGCCACATATTCGGGATCCTGCAAGCTCAGTCGAGCCAAGTCCGACACCTTCTTCGTCTGTGTGGCACTGAAAAGTAGAGTCTGGCGCTCCTTGGGAAGATGGCCGATAATAGCGTCCACAGTCTTCTGGAAACCCATATCCAAGATGCGATCCGCCTCATCCAACACGAGCATCTGCAGGTTGTGCGTCTCGAAGAAAGAAGTCTGATCCAAGTGCTGCAGCATGCGTCCAGGCGTACACACCAGAATATTCATCCGTCCCAGTCTCTCCTGCTCCTCCCGCAGACTCTTCCCACCAATAACCAGACCGGCGGAGAACGTATGATAGCGACCGACTTTGCGGAGGACTTCGAAGATCTGAATCGCGAGTTCGCGGGTGGGAGACAGAACCAGGGCACCCAATCCATCGTGCTCTGACCACTGTTTGCGGTATAGGTTTTCCAGGATGGGAATCAGGAAGGCTAGCGTTTTGCCGCTTCCCGTCTTTGCGGCACCGAGAATATCGCGGCCCTTGAGCGCATGGCTGATCGCACGGGATTGAATATCGGTTAACGTCTTGTAGTGGGACGAGGCAAGTCCGGACGCGGTGGGTTCAGACAAGGGCAGATCGGTAAATTGTTCGATGGTTTCCTTGACATCCAGATCCTCGACCTTCTTGATGAGAGAGTTCAAATCTTCTTGGACACGCTTGCGCTTCAGGTTACCGCCGCGCTGAGGCTTTGAGTGTTTGCCATTGCGGGAACCGTTGATCGGAGCCATGATGGGCTCGTCCAGATAAAATGCTCCACGAAAATGAGCACCGACGAAGGAAAGCAGTAAATCGAAAGAGGACTCGTTGCTGGGGAGAGAAAGCGAATCTCGAAGAAAGGCGCGGGCGGTGAAGCAACTTTTTTCTCTTCGGAGTTTAACCTCGCGGGTTCCTGCTGACTCATCGCCGCGATAAGGCGGCGCTTATCGGCATGTGCCTTTCAGCAGCCATGCGACAGTCCCGACCCGGCGAATTCCTTCATTCACTCCCCATCTTCTGTCACCATGGCCGCTGAAGAGCAAGATGCTTTGGACGCGCTTGAGCGTGAGGCGTCTGATTTTGTCAAGGTATGACCCTGCGGATTATCTACACTACAATGACACCGAAACTAACTTCAGACAGGATGCAGAAATTGACCGCATTCGGAAGGCGTTCTCCTTAGACGCGTGAGTTATTGGCATTCTACTACGCAGTTTCTGGTTACTAGTATATCACTCTGGATAGGCTAACTAGCGTATCATTTTACTAGTTACGCGGTCCTCGATCTCCAACCAGGTGTGCCCGAATCGGACATCAAAGTCCAGTACCGCAAAAAGTCCCTTCTCATTCACCCTGATAAGACGAAAAACCCAGCCGCCCCCGATGCCTTTGATCGCCTCAAGAAAGCGCACACCGCGCTTATGGACGAAAAGTCACGCACATACCTAGACGAATGTATCGCTGACGCGCGACGACTCCTAATCCGCGAACACAAGTACTCGCTAGACTCGGAAGAGCTAAAGACCGACGAATTCAAGAAGGAATGGCGCCAAAAGACAGTGCAGGTGCTCTTAGAAGAAGAAGCGCGGCGACGAAGACAGGCCAAGGCCAAGCTTCAGGAAGAAGGTCGGGAGAGGCGCAAGGAAGAAGAAGAGTTGGAGGCGCGGAAGCGGAAACGAGACCAGGATAAAGCGTGGGAAGATAGCCGTGAGGAGCGCATAGGCAGCTGGCGGGATTGGCAGAAGGGGGTGAAGAAGGATGGAGACAAGAAGAAGAAAAAGAAGATGAAGGTATTGGGGTGATACTGGACAGTGATGCTAGTTGTCTGCAAGACTTGCAGTGGTAGAAGTATTGGAACTTGATCAACTGGCGTTGAGCGGATATATTTGGACCCGGGACGGACTGGTGATCATAACATCACCATGATTATATTGCTGTTTATCACTACTGTACTTGCATACCATTGATTATTAGTCGCTGTCACATTACCATAGCTTATAGCTGTTCACATCAATTGTCATCCACACCAATAAACTCTTCTATTTACTTGGTTTCGTGCAGATAATATCTCCCCGATAAGAAAGGCGGTCAGACAAGATGCGGGGCAGAAAGAACATTCCAGCGCCTTTTTATTATCTTCCCCTCCATCGCTCGGGTTCATGTGGCCTCTCCGCAATGATCCGTGGTGTCTGGTCGTGCAACATTGAAGTTGTGGATTTTCTGTGTCTCATCCCTATATAATTGTCACTCTTATCTCTATATTCTCGCGCGATAGAAAGACATATACACCTTGCGTTGAAACCCGAACTCGACAGATAACCCCAGAACCACCGAGCCGGCTTACCTTCCATCCATCAACCCCACGAGTCATCGCATCCACTCCATACCCTAGCTACTAACTAGTACTACGCCAACCACCTCAACCTCATCCCTTCTTTCCTCCCTCGTTTTACAACCATATATATACATACACCTACCTCTGTCAACACGACAATCAATCACCATGACCGAGTCAATACCACCCACCCCCAATGGCCCCATCGCCGCATCACCCACCACCAACCACCCCACTACATCAACACCACCACAAACAACCTCAACCACAACCACAACACCCCAATTCCCACCACCCACCACCCCCTCCCTATCCAGCATAATCGCCCTCTGCCACTCCAAAATCCACACCTTCCTCTCGGAATCGCACCCGCCAGACTCCCTCCTCCACGCCGTACAAAACCAAACCCGCACCTCCCTAGACGTCATCGCAACCGCCCTGCACCGCTACCCCCTCAGCGAACTCTCCCTCTCCTACAACGGCGGAAAAGACTGTCTGGTGCTCCTCGTCCTCTTCCTCGCCAGCCTACACCCACACCCAGCCCCCGAAGACGGCGGCCTATCCTCTATCCCCGCTATCTACGCCCTGCCTCCGGACCCCTTCCCGGACGTCGAGGAATTCGTGCAATGGTCCGCCCGCGCATACCATCTCAACGTGCTCAAGTACACGACAGACCCGCCGCGCTCGACAATCAAATCCACCTTTGAGGATTACCTGTTTCTGAATCCGGGAGTCAAGGCCATTTTTGTGGGCACGAGACGCACGGATCCGCATGGTGCGAAGTTGACTCATTTCGATCGCACGGATAGCGGATGGCCGGATTTTGTGCGCGTGCATCCTGTTATTGATTGGCATTATGCCGAGATTTGGGCTTTTATTAGGCATTTGGGGTTGAGGTATTGTGGGCTTTATGATCGTGGTTATACGAGTCTCGGGGGGACAGCGGATACGCATCCGAATCCGAAGTTGCGGGTGGAGGTGGATGGCGCTGCTGGGGATGAGGTGCCTGCGGGGCAGTATAAACCGGCTTATGAGTTGACGGAGGATTTGGAGGAGCGGTTGGGGCGTAACTGATTGTCTGGGTTGGTATTGGTATTGGTATTGGCCATTGTTTGAGTTAAGGAAACTCGTTGTCGGTTCAATGCTCCTCTCTCCGTGTATAGACCTTTTTGGAGTCAGATTCCATGTACTCTTTGCCTCCCATCCTATACCGATGTCTTTTCCTCCGCATGTTACTCCTGAGCGATTCCCTCATTTCTCTCCTCTTATCTCATCATGACTATCCCATAGATGCATATATTGGCTGCAGGGCTTTGACTTGGATTGGCTCACATTTGACGCCGTGATTGCTGGTCGCAGTTGCATAACGCTTTTCATTGGCAAACTGTAGACTGCGCTGATAACTTGATGCTAAGAGCTAAACATGCATGGCTAGGCAAATGCTGAAGTACCACTTATGTCCTCCCAACCTGTGAATTTCCTCTCGCCGTAAACCTTTGGCCTCCAAGGTCCAGCGGTAACAGATACAGACCTTTAAATCGGCATCACTCTGCGAATCATAGAATCACTGGTGTCATCAAGAAATCAAGAACAGATAACAAAACCCATACAACATACAAAAGCTCGAAACCAGCACAAAACTTCGAAATGGGCAAGAGTTAAAATGGGGAAACAAAATCATATGTTAGTCAACCATGCACCATTGTAAGATATGCGGGCTCTGACGGATAGCTGGACAGCCTGCCGAGTTCGTAGAAGATGTTTCAAGGAAGAGCAAAAAGGCGACCCGTGCAAATACCAAACGTCGCTCATGTGAGTAGCAACACTTGGTGCTTGTAGGAAACATTGGCAAGAGAGAGGAACGGTCCAAGCCTCACTAGACGACCGACCGAGGTGAAGTCACAATAACCTCCCTGCGAGAGGAAATCGGAGACAAGGATCCTGCCTTGATCTCCTTGCGAGGGCTGGATCGTTCGGAACGAGATTCAACGCAGGACGTAGTAGGAGTGGCGAAATTAGCCTTGGAAGAGCCCGAGGTATTTTCTGTCCAAACTCCACGCCGTCCACGATACAACGGTGTATTCTCCAGACCTCCTGGGCCGTTGCGGGAAGTCCACGAGTTGAATTTCATGTTGCTAGCCTGGCTCTTCGCCAGATACCTGCTTGTCCTGTCAGTAGAGCCCGAACACATGTGGGTCCGTCAGTACATACGATGGGGAGATGGATGTAGCAGGAGTCCAGGCTGCGCCCATGCCAACAGGTGACACATAGCTACCCTGCGAGTTGGGGCTGAGGTGAGATGCAGTCTGTTGAAGACGGTTAATAGAAGGCGATGGAGTGGAACCCTGAACTACCTCGACCGAATAATTGTATTCGCCAGCACGATAGGCGCGGCGCTCATTGCTCTGCTGCTTGAGCATTTTCTGGGCCTTGGTATCGGCGAAGCGAAGAAGCAACTTCACACCATCTTTGGCAGTCGCGTTGTGATACTCAGACAGGACTTTCTCGGCGATTTCGCGGGTTTCGAATCTAGTAGGGGATGATCAGCCCAAGAAACATATTTTTCTCCCGAAAGGTTTGTGATGATTGCTTACCGGGCAAATCCAACTTCCTTGCTCACTCCAGTCTTCTCGTCACGACTAATTTTCTCCGAGATGACGTGGTACGGCTCGAAGTGATGGCGAAGATCCTGTAGTTATGGTCAACGTTGATATATCTAATATCTTATTGGACCTTTCTGCTCACGGCCTCTGTCCACTCAATCGGAATATTGGTACAGTAGATGTTAGTGGATGTCTTGTCTTCGAGGTCCTTGAGACGGGAGTTGCGAGATTTCTGGACTTTGTTAGATTCAATGGTACGTAGACTGGCAGCCCCAAATATATACCTGAGCAAAGCTAGCCTGGTAGCCAAGATAGAAGAACCCACGGATGCAGTTCTCGCAAGATTCGAAGTTATAGTACTGGACAAATCCGAATCTATAGGTGCAGTCAGCATATGTATCATCAGTCCGTGGACCCAGACCCTTGCATACCCTTTGCAAAGGCCTGTATCCAAGTCCACAATTGCTTTGCATCTGTCTATCTTTCCAAAGCGAGAGGCATAGGCATGCAGCATCTCATCCGTAGTCTCTGGGAGAAATCCTCGAATGTAGACGTTAGTAATGCCCTCCCGATTCTCCAGGCACTTGGCAAGCGTCAGCTCAGAAGGGTTAGTCCACATAGCAGGTACAGCCCGTGGAATAGGCGGGTCTTGCTGGGTTAGGTTCTCCAGATCCTGAAGAATATATCCAGTAGGAGTCTTCATCATCTGGAAAGGTAGACATGCAGGTGCCGGCTGGGGAAAGCTGTTATAACCATAGTTAGGCAGTCCAGGGCCTTCCAGGTTCGGGGTGGCTCCATGGTAGAAGTCTCCTGCAGAACTGGGAACCACTGGGCATGGGGAAGCTAAGCCCGGATAGATGCCAGTGGGGGGTAGATACGGGTTCTGATCATAGGGAAGACCTCCGAAGATGGCTCCATTGGGTAGAAGGACAAGCGGATTATAAGAGGGCACAGCTAGCGGCATGTTGCTCTTGAGACCATTGTATTTGGCTCCGGGACGCTGACCCTGGATGTTCAAACCCCCGAGTAGGGTGGACAAGCCACGGGCATCAGGAGCCTGAGCGGTATCAGGAACAGCAGTATGCATGGTGCCGGATCTATGTAAGTCAGGCTCTGTGGCAGTCGTTAGTCTTTTTGGTCTGTAGTAATGAAACACCAAAAGCACACACTAAGACGACAGTTGACACGAAATAGGTGCTTCAAATCAACGGGAATAAATACTTACTTGAGCCAGCAGGATAGCCGTGCGGATCGGGGGAGTTGGGATCTATAACAGCAGTCAGATATCAAGTAGGATCCAGGCCTCCAGACAGCATACACGATAATAAAGTAGCTAGAGAAGATGGGAGTAGGCCAGTACGCAACGAATGACTGGAACACGGTGAAGAAGTGGGAGCTGAAGAAGCCGGAGGAAGAGGGGTCGACATCGATAGAAGGTCGCTGTTCGTAGCAACTGCCTTCCTGGAGGAGTGTGTTGGGTGGAAGCCACTCCGGGCAGGAGCATTGAAGGCACCACTTTCCTTCCTCCGGAGTCCAGGGAATGACGCGTCAGGGACATGAATGTATCCTGGGTTACCAGACACGTCCTGGTCATTAAAGCCTGACTGATTCATGTTGGCCCTGCCTGTCGGGAGCAATTGATGGGAGTTGCAGTCGCAGAAATTTGGGACAAGACGGTTTAAAGCTATTCGGTTACGGGAGGGACTGAGGATGCGGAAGAGAAGAACAGTTCTATATAGAATAGATCTACGCGGGGACATGGACCCGTAATGAACAAACAGTATAGACATTCCACTCTGATTTATGTCTATGTTTGTGTGAGTTGAAATCCGGATCGCAACACAGTTTTCACTCCCTTTCACTCATTTGCACATATAAGCGGAGACTTGCGGGTCTGAAGCTGTTTGTGGATCACAGCCAGGCTGGTCAAGTATACAGTTGGCCGGATCCGCTGGAGCACAACTGCCTAACAAGCAAGTTGAGGATCAAGTCAAAGCATTGTTACGCGTGGGGGTGTTGGTCCGGATCAGAGTCACCAAGTCTCCGCGTGACATGAGCTCACATGGCTGCCGAGCCTTTTGATGTGATGCAGGTTAGTTATCCAAGCCCAAGAAAGTGCTGCAAAGCATAGCAATGAACATGTGCAGATACGCCAGTGCAAGTTTCGACCTCGTCTTACCATATATAACTCAATCATTATTGCTCTTCAGATCCTACCTGCCACACTCAATGTAGCCTGCGCAGGGCTTCTATCATAATCTTTACTTCATCAACGTTCATCATGCCCACTGAGTCCACAATTTCTTCCTGGAGACTTGGCTCGCAGGTCAAGAACCGCTCAATCAGCTCGCCATCCACAAAGCGGTACGGCTCTTTAGCCTCTCGCACCATGCTGCGGAAACCACGGAACTCATTGAATGGAATGTTTCCCAGCGACTCGACCTTGCCCGCCATGGTTGCCTGCAGACGCATCAAGAAGTCCTGGTGCTCTGGGTTGATAATAGCAAAGAGATAGATGGAACCTTCCACCTGTTTAGGTAAAACATGTGAGTTAGTCATAGTTGTTTAGTACTCGGGTGTTTGGGATGGGATTCATACTGTGCCCAGAAAAGCCCTCGGAGTGACCGTCACACTCGCCAATTGTTGAATATTGACCGGTCGAATGCGGTTGACCATTTCGCCCAACGAGATCTCCCCAGTTACTTCGAGCCTGCGCTTGTCGTCTTCCTCCACGCCGGTCAAGTTGCGTCGAAGAACAATTAAGTTACCTTCGGCGTCAGTTTCCAGGAATGTGTCCTTAGCAATACAGGAGACACCGGTGGCCCAAACGGTCTGAAAGTGGCGAGCCACTTCTGTCAAGCTATCGGGCGACCCATTCTCGCCCTCGCTGTACTCCACCAGACATACACTCTTCATGAGGTCGGCAACGGCAATCACGTTACCCGTTACGGTCACGTCGACGGGGGCGGTGGATGTGCGGTAGCTGGCCAACTTCTCGAGCTTCATCGCGCCAAAGTCGTTGTTCACCACTCCATAGATGACGACCTGAATCATATCAGCTTCTGTGGAAGTGGTACTGTGAGGGGTATCAGGCACTTACCGTTTTCACAAGAGCGGCTACAATCTTCTCTCCGAGCATAGCCAACGCGCGGCATGCACCTTTGACAGGCAACTCGGCGACTTTGGTCAATTTTCGACCGTTGTCAATTTCGAAGACTAAGATCCGACCTCGGATTGACTCTTCGTTTTCATCATCCAAATATGCTGTTCCCACAACGAACCGATCTTTGAATACGTCCCGACCATTTTCATCTTTGCCCGCAGAGAATTCCGCGCGAATGACACTCTCGACCAACTCCTCCGGCCGAAGATCAAAGGCGTCGAGACGACGGAACATGATCTCATCAGCTAACACAAACCGGCTTTGGACCATCTCAGCCCCGTCCTTCAATTTGCGCTCTATGGTGCCGATACCAAAAGCCTTTTCAGACGGTGAATATGCAACTCTACGGGCAGTTTCGCCCATAGGAAGCGTCTGGATCTGTGTTGTCCTCTCCTTGTCCACGAGAGCAATCTTCAAGTCGTGCCTGGTGGCCACCGCAATCGATCCAGGATACGCCTCCGAGTTGAAGTGACATACCCGAGACGCACCCTCCGAATTAACCGCAGAGTAGATAATGCGACCCTCAGAGCCGTATATTAAGCTGGGGTTCTCGCATGTGGCAAAGACATTATACAGCCCATCGCCTCGAGGCAGCTTTTTGAAGGTAGGCTGCTCGGACCCAAGTATGAGCCTGTTCATTCCGGTCAAGGAGTAGTTACGTGCGTCGAAGGAGTAGGTGATGACGCTGCCATCTGCCATCGAAATGAAGAGGGTGGAAGGGCTATTTGCAAGGACATCGGCAACAAGTACGGATCGTGGGAAAGCTTCACCAGCTGGGCCCAGCGACGTTGTATGGAGCTCCGATAGACGGCCAAGGTCCAGTACCGAGACCTTTGCCAATTGAGGGAAACCAACGATACAGACTCCGGCCGAAGACAAGGGCACCGTGACTCCTGAAATCTGGCTGTCTGCTCCAAAGTCCTTCTGAGATATAACCCGAACATCATTGTTGATATCGAGGACCGTCATAAGTTGGCCGCCGCTGACGAGAACGATCGAATCATTGTTAGCAGAAGCAGAAGTGATCACTAAATTGTCCGGCGGGGTCCATTCATTGGTAACCATGCCGCCTTCGATATCTGCGATGAGAACTCTCTGTTCGGTGACCTGCAAGATCCTCCCTCCAGGAAGATTCATAGCGAGAAGTGTATTCTCTGAAAGGCTGAGACCAAGGAAGCTGTCCAATTCTTCAACCTCGCCATCAAAGTTGAACTGAAAAACTCGTGTCTCGTCGACGAAGGTAACCAGAAGAGTGTCCAGATAACCACCCTTTGTCGCAAGCTGCAGTCCGAACAAGTCCGTGATGAGCTCCATTTCACCAAGCACGCCGAGCTCTTCCATGCCGACACCACTGCGTACACTCCTAAGGGTTCCGTCATCGAAAGCCCCCGAACCGGTCACAATGCGAGCCTGGCCTGATGAAAACTCGTGTGTCTGGCTTTCGCTGGTACGATTTCCAAGATCCATGATGGTAAAGTCGAGAATGGGCGCAATATTGGAGAGCGTCTGGATGACCTCCAATGAGCCATTGCCGATTCGAAGAACTTGCGAATCCCCTTGGTGAGATCCTACGAAGATAACTCCGCCACCGAGATATATCAGCACCGAGGCTCTAGCGGTATTCCCTAAGTGATCTAGCTTCCAGGATTGTACTTGGTTGTTAGAATCCAGGACTAGCATCAGGAAAAACAGTCTTCCATAATCATCAGCTAGAAGCCATCTCTGACTATCTACCTGCTCCCAAGCCACGAAAATCGTTGCTTCGTCCAAAGGACGCGACACAATCTCGTTACTATCCGTATCGACATACTTGATGGACGTCTCTCCCAAAACAAGCAGACCACCTGCACCACATAAACAGATCAGCATCAACCCAATAGCGACAACAAGCCACAACAAGAGAATCACAAACCTAAAGGCGCCGGAACCGGTATGAGATGCGACGCTCCGAGATCCAATTCCTGCGAAAACCCATCCAGCGACTCCTCAAACGCCGCATCGGCCCCCGTACTCGCCGTCGCCGCACTATAATGCAACGCGCGAACCTTAAGCCTTACTTTCTTCTGATTATCTTCATAGAGCAACGCCAACCTAGGCGGCCCCGACTGAACATGCAAGAACGCAGAGAGCGCACAAACAGCTCATCAATCCTCGCCGTCGTCGGCTCGCCCAACTCCCCAACCCGAGGCGCATCCGGTCCCGAAGGCGGAGCGACCTGTCTCCCCCTCTTCTTACTGGGCAACTGCACAATCGGCACAACAGCAATGACACCCTCGTAGACCTCGAGCGTCATAAACCGTCCACTAGGATCAATCAAGCACCGATTTCCCGTCTGCGCCTCCCGCGACGACGGATCAGATATATCAACGTAGTTCCTCTCCGTCCGGATTTGATTCCTCTCCCCATCCCACGATAACGTACAATAGGTGTATCGATCCGTCCCAACAAACAAATGATCCGTAGGCGAGTTCGCGGGCGCAGGAAGCCGAGCTAGCATAGTCACTTTCGCGAAGAGAGAACATGACGCTGCCAGGTTCAGCCCTTCCGGCGTAAGGGAGTATATCTCGAGACGGTTCGCCTTTCTATAATTGCAACACAGAGCGCCAATTAGCACACACATATATAACTATTGCCAGTATCAAAAGCAAGCAAAGCAAAAGCAAGGGGTCCACCAACGCAACAACCAGCGCCTCCTCCTCCGCATTCATGAAATGCAACTTGAGCGCATTCCGAATACTACTCGCCCGATGAATCGGCACCACGTAAGCCATCTTCCCAGAATATTGTTCAACTTTAATCCGTATAGATGTCGTATATCATATAGGTACCGAGGTAGCGTAGGGTAGCGTAAGTAGTGTGCAGTCCAGCTTTTCGCCCACTGCGGGGAACTGCTCTCAAGACCCGTCGTCGCAGTCGAACAGCGGTAAAAGCGATATGTATGTTCTTCCGGCTTCTAACTTTCTTTTTGCTAGATTATCGTGGTTAATTGCTGCATCTCATTTTTTTGTCCCTCGCTCTGCGGAGTAGAGAGGTTGGCATGGGAGGGGAGGGATGAGGATGGATGGATGATTGCGGAGCTTGGTTCGGGCTAGCCAGCCAGTCTGACTGAACTGCTGATACCGGGAATGACGATGGGTCACTGGTCGCGCGCCGGTTCTAGTTTGGTTTGGTTTTGGTTACTGTGCTTAACTCCGGTATTGCCGAGGTTGGGCTTATGCATGTTTCTTCTATTTGATTCCCCGAATACTTCAGTATTACTTTTTGGCTGAAAGTAGGCAGTAACTGTAGTATTTTCAGTGATTTAGTTACCAGTCTACTTGTTGATTGTAATGATATGCATCTCTTGCACGTCAATGCGTTGTCGGCTATTCCGAGCAGCAGGTGTCAGCTCGTTCGGTCAGTGCTCAATTAATTTAATTACTAGATGAAGAAGGCGAAAAGTATTGTGCAAATTAATATGGATTCATCTTTTCGTATCCTCTGGGCTCATGCAACCAGATATCAATATGCCCAGAATGGCATAACATGTTCCCGCAATAATCATGATCGTCTATCCTGTTCTTTCGACACTGGCTACCGCACTCATGCTCAAGCCACTTCAATGTGTGGCTGGCCGGTCGGTGCACAAAACAAATAAACTAGGCATACATAAACCACGCCAAGCAAAACAGATGAATAGGCAAAATCAGCGGAGTATATATGCAAAGATCATCTAGGCGTGAAATAAAATAATGGATCGAGAAGGCCGTCGTGATAAACAAGAAAGAAAAGTCGATGCATTGAAAGATTATGACCACACATCTTCCTGGTAGCTGCCACTGCTACGCATGTGCTTGACCATTTCTTCGCCCTTCTCGGCGGGCAGACCACGCTGCGCAGCAATGATCTGGCCAAGCACAAGGTTAACCTCGCGAGCCATGTTTGCAGCGTCACCACAGACGTAGAAGGTAGCTTTCTGCTTCAGAAGGTCGCTGACAAGTTCGGAGTGCTCGCGGAGTCTGTGCTGAACGTAGACCTTCTGAGGACCCTCACGCGAGAACGCAGTGATGATCTTCAAGTTGTCTCCAAGCTGGTCCTGATAGGTCTGCGAATGCGCGATATGTTAGCATCCGAGATGTATGAAGTAGCTGCGGAAAAGAAAAAAAGATATCTTACCTTCCATTCATCCTTGTACAAGAAATCCTCGTCACTCTTGCGGCAACCGAAGAAGAGAACAGTGGGTCCAACCTTCTCGCCCTTGGCCGCCAAAGCAGCACGTTCCTGAATGAAACCACGGAAAGGAGCAACACCAGTACCAGGACCAACCATGATAATGGGCCGAGAGGGATCAGAGGGCAGCTTGAAGTTCGAGTGGCGAACATGCACGGGAACGTGGATACCGTCGTACTTGTTCCGGGGACCGGTGATGGAGTAAGTCAAGCCGTGAGGGTCGGGAGAGGGATCGCCGTTCTGCTTCTGCTTGAGCGCGAGGAGATAATTCGTAGTCACACCCTTCACCATGTGAGAGGCACCGGGCAGACGAACAGATTCCACAACGGCCGTGATGCTGATCTTGTCCTTCTGGACAAGGGAGGACGAAGAGATCGAGTAGTAGCGAGGCTGCAGCTTCGTAATGCCTTCAATAAGCAGAGAGAACGGAACAGCAGAGAAAGGCTTGGACGTGATGCTCTGAAGAGCCTGGGCGATGTTGAAGCATTGGTTGGTGACCTTCTCGTGGAAATAGTCCTTGTCGCTACCCAGACGCACAATCTCTGCCTTGCTTTCCTCATCCGGAGCGAACGCGGCCAGAGTGGCTACAAACTGACGGGACACAGGGGCGCAGACTTCCATATAGTACCGAACAGCGGCATCGTACGTGGTCGGGGTCGGGATTGGGACCTTGGCCGTAACATCGATACCCTTGATGTTGATGACCGAATCACGCTTGCCCTCGAGACCGAAGACCTGAAGGAACCGATCCACTTCGGCACCAGCGTTTGTGGGCCAAACAGCGATGTGGTCACCAGTCTGGTAGGACAAGTTACTTCCAGCGATGCTAATTTCCATGTGCAGACAGTTGCGATCCTTGACGGTGAAAAGCTCACGAGATTCGGCAATAGGGGCGATAAAGGGGTTGTGCGCAGAGTACGGGCCTTTGGGAGTACCCTGAAGGTGGCTCTGGGTGGGCTCTCCAAGATAGACCGTCTCGTCCTCAGGGCTCAGGGACTCGTTTTCGGTGACGCAGAAAACAGGTTCGTAGACCGCTTCACGCTCTTGCAGATCCATCGACTCCGACAGTGCTGCCCACATGGGCTCCTTCCAGGCCAAGAAGTCTTCTTCCATTGTACCGGCACCGTCATCACCCTCGCCAGCAGAACCAATACGCTGCGCGCCGAGCTTCTGGAAAGCAGCATCGACTTGACGAACCATGGCGTTGTAGTGCTCATAAGTGTTGTTACCCAGACCGAAAGCAACATACTTCAGCTTGGACAGAGGCTTCTCGTCCGCGGAAGCGCCGCTCTCAAAAGCAACGTCGTCACCGGTGAAGAACTGGTAGAACTCAACAGCATTATCCGTAGGCTCACCCTCTCCGTAGGTGGCGAGCACGAAAAACGCAACCTTGTCCTCCGGGAATTGGTCCAGGTTCTCATAGTCGTATTCCTCGAGGTCAGCCACCATGGTCTTGAGGCCGAAGCGCTGAGATCCTTCCTTGGCCAATCTGGAGGCGTAGTCCTCCGCGGTTCCAGTTTGCGATCCGTAGAAAATAACACAATTCTTGCCCGTTTCTTCCATTTTCTCAATGATGTTCCGAGTCTTGCCAGCCTTAGCGGCGCCGTTCATCGCGGGGCCGGTAGAGGCATACGGGTCTTTGGCAACTGCCCAGTAGGTGCCCTTGGTGAAGTAGGCCACGCTACCCACCAAAAGCACCGCCAGGACCACCAGATCGAGGGTGTCGAGTTGCGCCATGGTGAGGCTGTTCAGCGGCGCGAAGCGAAAGGCCCCGATTTGATACGATGGCGAGTCTGAAAGGGTGGAGCGGGGGATTGAACGGAGTGGAGAGGCGGGAAAAGGAGAGGAGGTGAAAGAAGAATGTCACCCTCCTTACGCTTAGCCTGTCCCAGGTGCGATCACCGGAGCCGAGGCAGGAACCGAGATAAGGTGGCGGCGTCCCCAAAACCAAAAGATAAAACGGAAGAAAGAATGACGCTATGGGGTTAAAAGAAAGAAGGGGTGGAAAGAAGAAAGGAGAACAGGAAGAAAGGAAGAAAGGGAAAGGAAAAGGATAAGAAAGTAAGCCGTGGTGTGATCCAGGAAGAACAGAGAGGCCGAACCCACTGCTAAGCAGACCGCATAATTTGGGGGGCCGTGAGCCGGAAAGACGAGGGAGACGATCGACGGAGAGGAGAGAGAGCGAGACACAGGTGGTAGCCTGAGGCGATGGTGGCCTTTTCGCCCGGAGTCTCGGGTTCGGAGAAGCTGATCCTGTCCGGGTCTCTGACACGGAGCTACTTAGTACTCCAATGACTTGTCCTTCTGTTTACTCCGATTTGCTGAGGAGTTATCAGATCTCTCGTGTCAAGGTCAGGGCACTCTTGTGCGTGTTGGGGCACTATCTGATATAGTCCCTGTGAGTCTGTTGGCAGTAGTAGTGTAGAACTACTATTAGACACACTACCACTGATGGGGAGGTTCACTAGCAGAAGAGCGGTTGCCGGAGGGTTTCCAACAACAACAACAACAACAACAACAACGTATCTTGTGACTCAAACCTTCCGAGAAAACGTAGGGATGATTATGTGTAGTACAACTCTTAAAATTGAAGTCAAGAAATAACCAGAGTATCATGATGGTCACCCTCTCTCTCCTTTTATCTATCTAGATACCATTGCCTCCCTCGAGGTGGGGATTCCCCATTGGCCGACCACTGACCGAGATGGCGTCTGGTTCGGAAGGAAACTTCGGCCCTGGCTTGGCTTGGAGACGATGGCAAGTGGCGGCGGAGGCCCTTGAGCCATGAAAGGCGCAGCCGGGAATGACCAGTTGTTCCTCTGTTTCATCTGGGGGATCTTCCGTAAACCGCTGCCGAGTTCCTCTTGCTAACCGAGTTCCGCCTTTCGAACCCTGTGCCTCTTTCAGTAATTCTTGTGATAGATAGGCATATGAAGGCCTCTCTGTGCCGGTCTCCCGCGACCCCGTGGAGGTGGCAAGTCCGGAGCGTCCGGAGATCTGGAGTACCTGTTAGATGAACTGCAAATCATCTTCCTATGTCAATTGCCATTAAGGGAAGAAGAATGGTTTCAGGTACAAGAACTTAAAGATGGCTACCTATTAGTAGTACTTCGTAGTCCATGCATATCCGATCCTTACTATGCTTCGTATACCGACTTCTAATCACGTACACCGGCTGCCAATTCTGTCAGCTGTCTGCAAGGATTCCCTGAAAGACCCGATCTGCTCAATCCGCCCCCGTGCGTATGGACTCAGTAGCCTGGCAGGCTGGCTGACCTTGGATAATGCAGCTCGTGACTGCGGCACCTCCTCTGCCTGTTTTCCGCTCCTGGAGAAGTTGCACCCGTTCCGCACTTTGTGTACAGGTTAGTGCACCAAATGTCCTGCATACACGGGCAACCTTCCTCGCGGACGAATTCCGCACAATCTTGAACAATCTGAACTCATACCGGTGTTATCAGTATATTATTATGTAGGACTTGTTGCTACAGTCATGGAATCCAGCTGGTATACCTCAAACTTATTTTTTTCGTATTTATGGAGTAGAAGGAGTATGCTGGTGTCAGACTGTTGTGGGTTTCATAGCCACCGTCCCTGTTACTCGGTATATGTGACCCATATCTATACGAATCCTCTATTAACAGTCCTGGTCGTACTGGTAAGCTCTCGTAAGATCATCATCAATCGTTCCATGTAACTAAGGAAGTGGTATATCACATGTGATACTACCAGGGATATTTCGTTAGTACTACTAATATATACATTGCCTTGTTCGATCTGCATTCTTCACAATATTGATTAGTATGTTGCGGGTCATCTTCTTGGCCCTCTCCCGCCAGTCATTCTATTCCACTGTTACTTAACTCGTCCTTTTTGTACCGGAATTATGGTTGGTAGTAACTGATATCACAAGCAGTAATCACTTCTAGTAGGCAATGTTCATATTGTCCCCATAGTGGTCACCTCATGAGGTCGGAGTTCGAGGAAACCTATGGCTTCTGCTTGTTCCTCACATCATTGTCGGCTATGATTACCGTTACTGTTCAGGCATCTGGTGAAAACAATCATGTGAAAATAAAAGAATGCAGTGTGTTTCAGCATATAAATGCAGCCTCGCTATGTAGATCAGCAGCCATGTTGTGAAGACTATGCGAACAGTGGTGTCTCTTGACTACTAGTCTGACTGAACCAAAGTTTCGGGGTGCTCCTTATCTACAGATAAGATTGGCTGTGGGCGAGTATCGTCAATGTGGCCGACTAGTATACTAGATACTGAGACATAGGTAGTTCCCCATAAGGAACAAGGTCAAGAGTTTCCGAGAAACCCCTTAAGTATGCATAATAAAAGTGTGAAAATCGTGTAGTGACCGAATGGCTCCTAGTATCATTCTGATGTGCTGATTTTCTTTCCTGAATTTGATCTCTCGGGGCCGGTATGGTCCCCGTGCTCAGAGCCTCTCCGGTCGCGAGCAAAGGCTGGAGCTGCTCCAGCAACAAAGCTCGAGTGACGGCACCTCAATCTCAGACAACCACCCTATCCATTGGTTTCGCCTCCGATTTATGTGCGAAAGATGACCATGCACTGTTTGCAAGTGCAGCCAGGTTCTTTCGCTCCAACTGAAGAGAGCACTAGCAGGCAATGAGTGGCGTTTGAATCCGGACAGACGTCGGACAACAGCAGTACGTGACCCTGTCTTCTATCGTTTGGTCGGACCTGACGGGTTCCCATCCTGATGACTTTAACCTTGCTATCTATCGCTTATAATGGTCCTGATTGATTGGGAAATCGCGCGTCTAACTTGTTGTTCGTGGTAGTGGCTTCACATCCGTCGATCAAGGCTGGTCCCATCCAGCCAACGCCATTGCCCCTCATCCCTGACGATTCGAGCCCTGTGTCGCACCATAGCTTTTCAACTCCACCAGAACGCCTTGTCACGAGAAGTACGCCATCGTCCACCGTGCACAGTCGGGAAACTTCCACTGTTCGAGGAGGTGCCGACCTATCCGCTTTAGCCCCTTCATCCTCACAACCTCAACACTCTCGGCGCGGCAACTCCCATTCCAAAAGTCCCGAACCAAGCGCTGGGAGGTCTGGTCTTGGGTACGATGTCGGCTTGGAGAGGAGACCATCCAACTCTTACGGTCATCATCGAAATACCTCGATTGTCCATGGAATCCAACACTCCCGAAATCCCAGTTTCGCTGCCTCTACAACCTCTACAAGCCCTCTCAGCCCCGAATTGATCGCTTCGCTCGGCCGTGGTGGCGCTCCCGACCCAGAAGGCACAGGCGCTGTACGAATGGAGCAGCACGAGGGACACTCGGGCTTCCAGGGCCAAGGGGCCAATGGAGCGGCTCACAGCCTGCAGGGCACACTAAGCACCATAGAGGATCGAGACACGGATGATGTCGCTGATGGGAACCTGGCGGGTACAGCTCACAGGAGAATGAACTCCAACGGAAAGCCGTGGCAGGAGCGGTCCCATAGCCGTTCCCACTCGAGGCATCACTTTGGAGCAGAGTCGAAAACGGTTGGGGAATACGCTTTGCACCATCTCTTCAATTCCGTAAGTGTCTATACCCGATTCGCCGAGCTTGACCCGGCTGCTGACAGTGGCCCTAGTTTGTAGGTCAAGCGGACAACAAGATCAACCAGGCTATAATGAAACTGGGTGAGTCGGACGCGCCAGTTGAAGAAGTATGCGGACCGGGCGTCGATTCGAATTTTGATCAATTGATCTCTGCTTTGGGTCATATCGCGCGAGAGAAACCCAAGCCTTTGATTGATACGATAATGCTTTGGCGGAAGGCCAAAGGTGATGCTGCTATTGTGGCCAAACAGGCAGCTGGTCAGAAGACTACATCCGAGAATGGGTCTCTGATACGCCGTAACACTGAGCCACCCCAGATCATTGCAGAATCGGCTTCTCAGACTGACTCTGCGTCTCCTGCGACTACACTTTATTCCCGACACGACGATGTCATCTTGGCGGAGCGGCGTGCAACGGTATCCGTGTACCTGGTTTGCAGGGTTTTGATTGAGATATTCAATCAGAGCAGTCTCGCTTCGATCACATTGGACATGGCGGACCGCTTAGAGGATATAGTCTTCGGTCAACTCAAAACAGTAGATCCCGAACAGATCTCAGCTTCTCCCCTTCGCATGGCAAACTGGAGGATCTACTCCCAGGTGCTAGGGATCATGAGCGAAAATAACTTCACCAGCGTTACAGGTCGGTTTCTGGCAGAGCTCGAAAAGATTCAGAAGGATGAAACACTTCGTGGACCTTCCAGGGATGGTGACGCCAAAGCCGAACTTTTGATCCTAGGAATGAGGCATATCCGGATCAGGACACAACCCGATGCATGGGCTCGCTCTTGCGAATTCCTGCGGTCACTAGCACGACTGTTCGGTAATTCTCATGGGCAACGGGTCAAACAGGCATATTGTTATATCTTTGAAAAGTTACTTCTACCTGTTGCTGCGAGTCCCAATTCTGACTTGACGTTGCCCAAGTGGAAAGATTTCATAGAACTGGTCCAGTCCCGTCTGTCACAGATGCTAACCAAGCCTCGTCATTGGACTGTGGCTTTTCCTCTCCATGTGTTGCTCTTGTGCGTGTCGACGAAGGAGAACTTCTCCTCACAGTGGCTTTCACTGATCCAGTCCCTCCCACCGAGATTAAAAGACCGGCCAACGAGAGGGCCGGCCCTACAGGCGATGTGTCGCTTGCTGTGGACCTACTTCTTTCGCTATTCAGAATCGCCCACAGCTACCCTGCGTAAAGTCGAAGAAGTGTCGAAAATCGCGCTTCCGCCGGGCAAAAGGACATATCTGAGCACAGAATCGGCCGTTGCAGAACCTCTTATTCAACTAATACGGATGATTGGCTTTAAGCATCCCGACGTCTGTTTCCGAAACATCATCTTTCAGATGATCAGCTCAGATCTTTTCCTCTCTGGAAAAGAACTAAAGATCGAACAAATGGAGCCGGAAAAGATGGTGATCGGTATCAGGTCCTTTCTCGCCATCATGACAGACAATGAGAATTGTGATCAGCTTTGCCCGCCCTTTCCCACTGGTTCGCTCCCCAACCCATTCACCGATATGTCCTCTCCAACCTATCTACACCGTCCTCAGTTCCTGGCCGATCCCCGGCTGCCAAATACCCGAGGGAATAGGGAGGATGCAGTATCACGTCCGGTGAACACAGCAAGACTGAATGACAACGCCAAGGAGTATTATTTCCGATTTTGTGACATCCTTGGCAAGATAACACTTTTATGCGACAACACTTTCGGAGGACAGGCAGCGCTAGATGAGAAATTTGGCGGAACAACTCCCAAGACCCCGATTGCGGAGGCCTTTAGTTTCGGAAGACGGGATGATCATCCTAACATCCTAGATCAGCGACAGGGCTTCTACGATCTTCTTCACGTCGCGGTCCAAGCCCTGCCTCGCTGTCTATCCGATCGTATACCATTTAATTCTCTTATCAATCTGCTTTGCACTGGCACTGCTCATGTTCAGACAAACATAGCGTCCTCATCTGCCGAGTCTCTGAAAGCAATCGCGCGGCAATCTCATGCTCAGCAGGTGACGATCGGTTTCGCAAGGTTCATATTCAATTTCGACGCGAGATATTCCACCATGTCAGACGAAGGCATGCTTGGGCCAGGCCACATTGAGTCTACATTGAGATTGTATGTCGAGTTGCTGAGGATCTGGATCGAGGAAATCAAGCAGAAGACTAAAGATGCAGCGGCGGACTCTGGCGATAAATCTGGTACTGGGAGCAGGGCTCTGCAACTAGACCTCTCCAGCGTTCTCGCCCAGGTCGAGGAAGTGGAGTCCCATGGCTTATTCTTCCTTTGCTCGCAATCGAGGAGGGTTCGCGCTTTTGCGATCACCGTGCTCCGCCTTATTACGGAATTTGACAGCGCTCTTGGAAAGGAGAATACGCGGATCATCCGGATCTTGGAGGCCGACTCGCAACAGATATTGGATGTCAATGACGAACAGCTTACTGTGGCTGAAAGGAGTCGCATCCAGAAAGGCAAGCGAAGAAGCGCCACTCAAAATACGCTGATTGAGCTGTGCAGCAGTGAAGTCTCCTATGACTCTACACTATGGTCGAAGGTATTTCCCAACATTATCGGATTAGCTTCGAGACCTGTCCTTTTGCTGTGACGCTGGGCCGTGAGATCGTGTGTGCACGACTTGTCCTCATGCACAAGACCATTACTTCGCTTGCGGAGAGTCCTCAGTATCCTCAATACGGTCCAATCGATGCCATTCAGGCTCGATCATTCGGCAGGAGTAATACGACCGCCGAGATCTTGATTGAGCAATGGAAACTGTACTTGGTCATGGCCTGTACCACCCTCAACAGCGTAGGCGCACAGTCCCAGAGTCAGCTGGCAAACGCTCAGCATGCACGGAAGGGATCAAAAGGGTCACAACAATCGCAGGATAAAATAAGCTCCGCCCGAAGCCTCTTTGCTTTTGTGATCCCGTTGCTATCAGCCGAGCGTGCTTCAATTCGGAACGCTATAGTGATTGCCTTAGGATCGATCAACAAGAACCTATACCGCACCCTGCTTGAGTCTCTACAGTACGCCGTTACGACTTGCAACGAAGAAGCTAAAGTTCGGATTGGTACACATTATCGTTCTCCGAGCAGCCCAAAGCGCAATCGCAAGACAGACCGATTGCGGACCGAAGTCACCCATGTGTATAAACTAACGTCACACTTTCTCAAGGAACCCGAAGTATACAATGATGACTGGATCGTCAACAACCTTGTTACCTATGCAAAGGACTTGCGGATATTCTTGAGTGATGCCGAGGTGCAGAACGATTGGGAATTTCAGCGGCTTCGCTTCCACTACTGCGGGCTTATGGAGGAGCTCTTCGAGGGCATCAATCGTACCAAAGACCCCTCTCGCTGGATACCTTTCGAATCAAGAAAATCTTCCTTCTCTCTTATGGAGGACTGGTGCGGATATTCGCCTAATCAGTCCCAGATCTCGCAACGTGAGGAGACGATGCGGAGGAATGCCATCTCACAAAATCATGAGGCTGGCGAATTGCGTAATACTGCCGCAGCCATGGAAATAGAGAAGAAGAACCTGCGCGCAGCAGCCCTCAGTGCAATGGCATCCCTGTGTGTAAGTTGTTCTGACTTTCTCAACCTATTAGGGCTACCAACTGACTTGTGTAGGCTGGGCCGATCAGTATCACAACAGAGAGCGGGTCGGTACTCCAATTCGATGTGGGCCGAATGCTTTCTTGGGTTGATATCATCTTCAACACAATCAGTGACAAGTGGCACGCCATTGGTAGACGGGCCCTCAAGAATCTAATTATCCACAATAAGGAGCACTCATACTTGTTGGAACGGTCCATCGAGATGTGCTATGTCACAGAGCGACCAAAGGCATTGGAGAGCTACTTTGAAGTCGTCACCGAAGTTCTGATCGAGCATACGGATTACCCGCTTGGGTTTTGGAGAATCTTGGGTGCCGTACTTGTTACACTTGGTAGCCCGAAACGGGAGATCAGGATGAAGTCTGCTAAGCTGCTCCGAATTTTGGAAGAGCGACAACAGAAGAGTTCAAGATTACAAGACTTCGACATCAGCATTTCCGACAAGACGACCGCCGTCTACAAGCTTGCGCAATTCGAGACCTCGAAACGTCTGGCGAAGCAACACTCTGACCTGGCCTTCACTCTTTTCTCCGAGTTTTCATTGCACTTTCGTAACCTGCGGCCGGACAGCCAGCGGAACATGGTGGCTGCCATTCTTCCGTGGGTCCAGACAATGGAGCTTCAAGTCGATCCAAATGGCGGCCCAACAGCAAAGTCGTATATGCTTCTGGCTAATTTGTTTGAAATCACGATCCGTTGCAGTACTATTCTTCCAAACGAGGTCCAAGCCCTTTGGCAAGCTCTAGCCACAGGCCCGCACGGTGGCAACGTACAGTTAGTGCTTGACTTCATCATCAGCCTCTGTTTGGAACGCAAAGAGCAGAATTTCGTGGATTATGCCAAACAGGTTGTTGTGTTCTTGGCAGGCACGCCAGCTGGCTCCAAGGTGATTGAATTCTTCTTGTTGCAAGTCGTGCCTAAGCACATGGTACAAGAAAGGAAAGATATCACGCCAGCGCCACCTGATATCAGAAGTCTACCCTATGTCACAGATCTCGGAACAGTACTCCCTGTTGGCAACAAGCAAGCTGGCCTTTCCCTGGGCCAAGTCGCGCTGATTTTCCTCGTTGACTTGATGGTTGCGCCGGTCACGCTGACTATGGATGATCTGGTCAAATTACTTCATGTTGTCCTTATACTCTGGGACCATTATACGCTCACTGTACAAGAACAGGCCAGGGAAATGCTGGTTCATCTGATACACGAGTTGATCGCTGCAAAGGTGGAAGATGATGCGCCCATCGAAACACGGCAATCCATTGAAGACTTTGTGGAATCAATTCGTAAGAGCGACCCTAAGGTTGTGTGGGAATACGAAGACGTCAGTGACAAAGAAGATGAAGAGGATGGCAGCCGTGTTCCACCGTCAATGGCCTCTGTCACTCGCCAAGTAGTCGATTTCTTCAGCCTTGGATATGAAGGGCTGAACGACCTATGGGCGAAAGAGGCGTTGAACTGGGCGACGTCATGCCCCGTGCGACATCTTGCCTGTCGATCGTTCCAAGTGTTCCGTTGCATATCCATGTCTCTAGACTCCCGAATGCTGGCTGATATGTTGGCTCGTCTATCGAACACTATTGCAGACGAAGAGTCGGACTATCGAACTTTCTCCATGGAAATCCTTACGACTCTTAAGATCATTATCAGCTCCTTGGCGCCTACTGACCTGCTGCGGTATCCTCAACTGTTCTGGACTACATGTGCGTGCTTGAATACCATCCACGAAACGGAATTTATTGAGAGCGTTGGCATGCTTGAGAAATTCCTGGATCGTGTCGACATGAGTGACCCCATGGTAGTTTCAGAGCTCATCAAAGGTCAACCGCCAAAGTGGGAAGGCGGCTTTGATGGTCTCCAAGACTTGATCTACAAGGGCCTGAAGTCGTCTGAATCGTTGAATCGAACACTGGATATCCTTCACCGACTAAGTGGCCTTCCAAACAACGAGCTTATTGGGGATGGTAACAGGTTGCTATTTGCCATATTAGCCAACCTGTCTCACTTCTTGCGTCAATTTGACTCCGATGTTGATGATCCCAAGACATTGGCGCGCGCGACACTTCTGGCAAGGGTCGCTGAAAGTGAACGATGCCCCCGACTAGCAGCCTCCTTGCTCGGATTTGCGAATGGCCAATACAAGGCGGAGAACGATTTCCTGAACCATATCATTACAGAGATTCGGTCATATTACTTCCCTCGCCAGGATGTCCAAAGTCTCATTTTCCTTATGGGGTTGCTGACCAATACGACAAACTGGTTTCGCGTCAAGGTCATGAAAATACTATGCGTGTTGTTACCCGATATGGACATGCGTCGGGGAGAAGTGACGTGTCATGGGCCTGATCTGATCTCTCCTCTCTTGCGACTGCTACAGACGGACCTCTGTCCCCAAGCTTTGCAGGTCATGGATTACATTATGACCGTCTCGGCCAATCCAATGGAAAAGCATCACATCCGGATGAGCATGGCTTCGTCGTCATCTTCTCGAGCTATCCGGAAGGAGTACGAGCGTGTGCAAAGCTTGTATGGTATACCCGAACCAACCGGATGGTCGATACCAATGCCTGCGACACAATCAAGCATCACACGACATAATGTCCATGCAGTGTTCTACACTTGTGCGGAAGTTGATCGTATGGAAGCGCAGGAGACAGCACCCTCTGAGGTGGAATTCCACGCCGATGAGTACAATGATACTTTTTTCCCAATGCGGGCGGACACGATGAAATCCATCGATACGCAAACGGACGGCAACATGGGAGACATTGTCCAGAAGCTAGACAGTCTGGATGATTTCTTCGAGGAGACCGACCCGGTGCACGCAACGCTGGACCCCATTTCCGATTCCACGCTACGGGGCTTCACTGGTACATTTGCCGATACCAACGCCAATCTGTATGATCAGCAAACTGCGCCTATTCTCCGCAAGTCCCTGGCCAGAACCGCCTCAACGTCCTCTTTTCATAATGGACTTGCTGAGTCCCGTCCGTCCAATATGCGCTTCGACAGCATGGGAACGCAATCTCCCGGGACATTTACGCCTCAAGCTCCGAGCCAGAATGCACGGCCCGTTTCCCACACGCGCTCCGTTACGTCTCCAGTCAATCATCTGTTCACGCCTCCGAATTCTAGCGTACATCACAATACGCCTTTAATCGGTTTCGAGTCGGCATTCCTATCCGATGACGAGATAGAGGATGGCTTGGCTGATCACAAACAAGCCATGCCACATCCTATCAGTCAAACGCGCAGTGCCACGGACGGGTCCTCGTCGCTTGAATCCATGATTCGCAGCGGTATGCGACGGCTCACCGGTGGAGCAGCCACCAATCGGGAAAAAGAGAGACAGCGTGATCTGGTTCGAGCTCAACAGCGAGCAATGGCTCAGACGGCCAGCTCCCCGCGAGTGCCCAAGGTTCCTGCCGAGTATCTGACGGGTCCAACGAGCAACCCATCTTCCCCAGCACAACAGTAACGGATTGTCCAATCAGCCTGTTTTCTCGTGCAACCTTCTTTTGCTTTCTTATTGTAAGCTGGTGCTTGGTGTGATCTGGCGTTCAACATACCCATTCGTCGGTTTCCTTCCTTTACTCTTCCTTGACGTCGTTCGCCTGCCCTCGTTTCATCATTTCCTTGGCCGTATGTAGCACAGACATCTATAGATTAATTAATTGAATCAGAAGATATATAGACTAGAAGATGGTGACGATTAGTAGTAGCATTCGGGCCAATCCTCAGTGGGGAGAGTGGATGCCTCACGGTCCAGGCGGCGGGCCCATCCCCGTGACGCCCTCCGGCGCCATACCGCATTGGGGCTTCCCCGCATTGGAGGCAGGAAGAGAAGATCGTCGAGTCTCAACTCTATTCGTCATCCCCATTGATGCCCCTGGCTTGAGGTACTTGAAGGATGGAAAGCCTCGGAAAGCAGCGGAGTTCCACCTTTACAGGACTCCACTTGGCTGAGGGGTGCTCAGTCAGGCCCATTGGGTGCTATTCTTGAACTTACAGCTGCTCCCTCGGATCACTACGCTTCTTTCTCCTACAAATACCATCCCTTCCTAACGCTACTCTCTGTGTTAGAATTCGAGTGACCTCTTAAATTTATAATACCTCCTCTTCTGAACATGAGCCTCTCGCGTGCTTTGCCCCTTTGCAGGGGAACGGGCACCTTATTCAGAGCATATCCTTCAGCTTTGCGCCTCGCACAGCACTACCCTCTATCTGGCCGCACATTCTCGACTTCTGCGCAACGAGATGCTACATGGGGATTCATCGGACTGGGCCAAATGGGTAGGTATTCGCAATCCGCGAAAACACGGGCCGTCATTCAATGGCTTTGTCTAGCGTACATTGACAATCTCTTTGTCCACCATAGGCTACAACATGGCTAAGAACCTGCGCGCTAAGATCCCTGTGACGGATACCTTGATTATACGCGACGTGAATGAAGAGAATATGTCTAGGTTTGTGAAGGAAGCGCAAGAAATTGCTAGAAGCAGCGGCGCTGCTGACAGCGTTTCGGAGGTTCTGGTGGCTCAGACCGCGAGAGAACTTGCGGAAAAGTCGGTAAGTTGATCGTTCCTGTCACCGCTCGATGCGAGACCCTACGTGGCTTTTGTGATCGGACACTGCCTAGTACATGCCTGAAGTACTGTTTCTGCTCGCAAGAAGCCGCATCTATTTGCGTTTACATGCTGATAATACTATCCAGTCCGTCATTATCACCAGCCTCCCAGGGCCGCAGCATGTCAAGGATGTCTATCACTCTGTCCTTCGAGAAGGAGAACTTCCCGCGCTAGAAGAAGAGCGACTGTTCATCGATACGTCAACAATTGATCCTGCGTCATCGAGAGAAATCGCGAACGCAATACAAACCACATCCCAAGGTCGCTTTGTTGATGCCCCTGTGTCGGGCGGCGTGGTGGGTGCGCGCGCTGGCACATTAAGTTTCATGTTCGGTGCATCTTCGCAGACTGGTCAATTCCTTGATCGTGTGCGATCAGTACTACTTATGATGGGAAAGAAGGCGTGGCACATGGGCGCCCCGGGAGCCGGCGTTTCAGGCAAACTGGCGAACAATTACATCCTGGCGATCAACAACATTGCGACCGCGGAAGCAATGAACCTCGGCATGCGTTGGGGACTGGATCCAAAAGCTTTGGCGGAACTCGTCAATTCGTCAACCGGCCGATGTTGGCCTATGGAAGTCAACAACCCTGTACCTGGCGTGGTCGAGACGGCACCGGCATCTCGTGGTTACGAGGGCGGCTTCGGTGTGAGTCTGATGAACAAGGACCTTCGATTGGCGATTACTGCTGCGGAGGAGTCGCAAACACCATTGGCGCTGGCGGACACTGCTCAGAAGGTGTATAATGCCGTTGAGGAGGAACACCGAGGGAAGGACTTTTCCGTGGTGTACAAATGGCTGAAGGAGCACTCGCAATGATATCTCGGCTGGTACATGAGACCATTTGCCTCCGATAAAGTCTAGAAGATTTACTTTTGTCAAGAAAAACGACGATGTCTCTAATGAGACTACTCGGACCGTTATTCTTCCTACTTGCCAAGCCTGCTCATGATCTGCATTTCTAGTCCCCGTCAGCTATTATCTCAGTTATTATATATATAGATGACGCTTGCAGCACCATTGTTATATTAAATATCCCCTACAGGGCCGTTTCATACTTACTGGCTTCCCATCAACTAGCTTACAATCCTGCCCTCGTATCTGAGACCTTCAAACGAACTAGTCCCAGCCCCAAACTAGATTAGCCAACCCACAAAACACTGAAATGGATAAATTGGCGTGATCTGACAAATCCACAAAAGCTTTGACTCCCAACCCTGTCCCTCCTTAGATACCCTTTCTTTTACCAACCAACCCCTACCAATCCCTGCACAAATCTCAACAGCCTACCCTCCTATACACAACCCATCGTAATACCAAAAATGGACCTCCTCCCCACCCAAACTCTCGGCCCCAGCAACGGCCACCCCATCCTAATCATCCCCGGCTGGGAAATGACCCCCCAAACGGAAATGCACGACTTCGAGCCCATCTTCACCACCAGCAGCATCCCCCTCCGCCGAATCTATATCGCCTTGCCCGGGATGGCCTCCACGCCCGCAAGGAACATCACTTCCCTCGACGACATCTACCACCACCTCGTGCACTTCATAGACTCTACTCTGGGGAATTCCCGCTTCATGCTAATCGGCTCCTCCTGCGGCGCGTATCTCGCCCGCGCGCTGGCCCAGAAATATCTCCACCAGATAGATGGCTTACTCCTCCGGGTACCGCTCATTGAGCCGGAGGATAGTAAGCGTGACGTGGATACGATTGAGCCACTTATCAAGAATGAGGGTGTTATGAGTAGTTTGTCTCGTGAAGATAGGATGCTCCTTGGGATTGATAATGGGGGGAAGGTAATTGTGCAAACGGAGGAGTATGTGGATGAGTTGAAGAGGAAGTGTAGGGAGGTGTATGTGCCTGCTGAGGAAGGGGCTGATAAGGGTGTTTTGGATCCTATTAGGGGGGATGTGGGGAGGTATCGGTTGAGTGAGGAGGTACTTGGTGAAAGGAGTGGGGAGAAGTTAATGGCGCCTACGATGGTGGTTTGTGGGAGGCAGGATGAGAGCGTTGGGTATCGGGATTGCTTGGGGTTGTTGGAGAGGTATCCGAGGGCGACGTTTGCGGTGCTGGATCGGGGCACGCATGGATTGCCGGTTGGTGGGAGTGAGAGGGGGGTGTTTGGGGCGTTGGTGAGAGATTGAGTTTTTAGAGTGGGGGAGTGGAAGGGGAGTCAGTAGTTTGGTTTAGATTTGGTTGGTTTGGTTTGTATGTACAGTTTTGGTATATTTCAAGAGAATGTTGGGTTTCATTTTGGAAGTGGTTGCGATGTGTATGGGGGGTTATGATTTGCGAGGTGAAAGTTTGACTAGCAGGCCTTCTTGTTTGACAAACCACCTAGAATAGTGTCAGTATTAAATTCACTGATTTTGATACGCTTGATGCGAGTTGTGTTTCTCCGCTGAGGGAGAGCGGAAAGTAGTAGACGTACCAGCATGTTTCCTGCCACGGCTCATCTGGGTTCGCGAGCTGAATGTCGAAGCGGTTTAGAAGAGTTGGGATCATCTATTGCTCGGTTAGTTGATGTTGTATACATTCTACCACAGTGTTGGAGGGTTGACGTAGAGGGTGGTTGTTATGATGTTGGATAGCTATTTACCTTGCTCATTTCCATCCAGCTGATATCTGTGGAAAAGATTAGCTATGAGATTTTGAATCGATGATGATGAAGTAGACGTACTCTTCCCAATACAGAGTCGTGAACCACCTCCAAATGCGAAGAAGTATCGTCCTAGTAGTAGGAGGAATATAATTAGCTAAAATATCAGATAATATGGAGGCGGTATGTAACGCACTCATATCTCCTGTCTTCTCTCCTAACCATCTTTCAGGGCGGAAGGCTTCAACATCGTCGCCGAATATACTTGCGTCGCGATGGACGACCCAGGCGTTGACACCCACTGTTGTCTAAATATTTCATCCTGTGTCAGTACGCAGTCCTGCACTGGGTAACCAGAAAGCGATAGATATCAATGTCAACTTACCCCCTCCGGCAAGAAGCACCCGTCGATCATAATACCCCCCTTGGGAACAACACGAGGGAGACTCATCCCAACAGCCGGGTGCAATCTTAACCCCTCCCACATACACGCCTGAAGATACGGCATATCATTTGCCTGGTCCAATGTAACCGGGTCCGAGAATCTCCCTTGACGTTTCCGATCTTCAATTTCATCCCTAAGCTTCTTCAAGCACGTGGGATTCTTCAAAAGGTGGTAAAAGATCGACCTGATCGAGATAGCAGTGGTGTCAGAGCCCGCAAAAACATTCGACGTGGCCATTGAGAGCACGTCATCATCCGACAGCTGGTTTTCTTTCTTCTTCTGCACGTCAAAGAGCTTGGATAAAATGTCTTGCTCTTCTTTTGCCTCTTCGACATGCTTCCCCTCTCGACGCGCCATGATCTCACGAGCGGCAATCTGTCGAATTGTACCATGGCGTGCTGCGATACCCAGACGACTTCCGATGATAGGCGTCATGTAATCGTGCAACCAATATACCCAGGGTACTTGTCCCACCCAAGAAGCCGAGCGAAGTGCGTTTTCAATTTGACGGAACGCGCCACCGTCTGTTCCATTTTCCAGGAATCCGAATGACTTGGAGAATGTAATCTCGCCAGTTACATCTACGTAGTATGTCGTTAGCGAGAACATAGAATGAATAGGAGATACTCTTTCAAGGAAGGGATCTTACCAAAAGCAAACAACTGCACCCACTTCCCCAGATCAACAGTTGCGTCAGACCCTTGGCGCTGCATACATTGCATGAGTCGTTCGACTACTGCATCCACGCCATGCTCGAAGTCCTTTAGACTACTCATGGAGTAGATGTTGTTGACAAGTCGTCGCTGAGCACCGTGGATAGTCTCATTCCGTTCTGCAAAGAGATCGAATTTACGACGGCCTTGCCAAACGCCTGTATCATTCTCTTAGCTAGTGATCTACAATATAAAGATTTGGGTAAGGGAATCCGACTCACTGTACCAATCACTCTTTGCGAATTTATTTCCGGCCCCTTCACATTATAACAGTGTTAGCACTCGGAAGGACAGGGTTGGGAAAAGGAGACTCCTCGTACCATAGATCAACTGAATGGCATTCAAATCGGCCACACTAACTTCGTTTGGTCCGACACGAACCAATTTTCCGTACTCCTCATGAAGACGGGGGTACAACCGATGCATATTGCCTTTGTTTGAGAATAATACCAACCACCATCGCGATAGACTGGCCCAGAAGGGGCCGGGGACTTTGGCTAATGAGCTATAGTAGCGGATGTATAGAACATAAGGAATAACCGAGAGGAGTGATAAGCAGGCAATATATGCGAGCAAGTATGTGATGGGTTCATGATGTGTTGAATCAGGTCGGGTCAGGTCACTTATGATGCCCATCTTGGCGAGCTTGTCGGTGGTGGATTGATCTGGATGAGTCTTGGGAAGGAAATTGAAGAATAGACGAAGAAGAGGTCCATTAAATAACTTGAGAGTCAGTGGTACTGATAAGCACTAGAAGGGCGTTGTGTGTCTGACTCTGTAATTACTGAGAGGTCATCTTACTCCGGCCTGCCACTGGCTGGTTGTGGGGGTGGGTCGAAGATCTGCGGGGTTCGGTAAGGCCTCCAGCTTCATTTCATGGCACAAGACAGTGTATGTCTCTTAGTGCACCGGTACATAGACATTGTGATCTCAAGACGAGTCTCAAAAATGAGGAACATCATTTGGCGCTGAGAATCAAGCTCGGAACTAGAAGCCCCACTTGCAATAGTGGTGGTATGTTTCGGCTTTGGTAATATTACAATACAGCACCCGAAACCGAACTATATTGATCGTCTCCAATCGACTATGCTCATGCTATGCCAGATTATATGGAAATTACGTCTGTTCCAATTGAGCGTGATTCCTGAAAAATCCAAATATGGTTTTAGATTTGTGACAGCAGGCCCCAAGTACATGTGTTTGGAATACCGGTCAACAACGTATCTACGCTTAGCCACAAAACATACACTCAAGCCTCGAGAGCCTGGCAGATTCATGTTACTTCACCGAGTAATAAAGCCGGCAAAATATTTAATGACATTACTCGCTTCGTCAAGCTGTGTTGCATAACCCAGGATTCCATCAGGTCGAACAACGACAACTGCGCCATTGCTATCAGACACCGTATAGGCAGCATGAGCGGAGCCCTCTGGATCATAATAGAGTCGACCTATTGTTGGAATACTGAACCTCTGGTCTCCTCCAGCAGGACTCTGGGCAACCACAGTGAGAGATCGAATCATTTCGCGAGGAAGGCTTTCGCTGAGCTGTTTCACCATCTCCACGGCACGAATGAGACTTTGCCTAGTTTTCTCAGGATGTCCAGCGAGGAGAAGAATCGACCAAGCACCAACGTTCGGCATTAGGTGGAATAATCTAACAGGTAGTCGTGATCCAGGGGCATATACCAAAGCATCTGGAGCCCTCCAGCCTGCTGAAATTGCCGTTGTTAGGGAAGTCTTGTTGATGGTACTCTCGTTATAGTGGATTCCCAACCCAATACAGAAATCTATCGTGTCATCAAAGACCTTGGCAAACAGCTCGTTTGAGCTTAAGGATAGATCCTTGTACCTGTCAGGAACGGTACCCGATATGGTAGCCGAGAAGTCCTTGTCAAGGTCGATTAGATGCTGCGCTACAGGACGTCGCTCTGTATCATAGCTGCGAAGCACATCATCATTATACCAGCCTTTCACGATGCCGCCGAGCTTCCACGCTAGATTCACTGCATCATGAACGCCTGTGTTCATGCCCTGTGCTGTGCCAGATGAGTGCGTATGACAGGCGTCGCCTGCTAGTAACACACAGTCGTTGTTATAAAAGCACTCTGCTACGCGCTGATTGATACTGTGCTGCATGTTAGAAAGGTGACCTGGAAGACTTGGAAGCATGACTTACCCATACAAGGTCCACCAGTCAATAGTTTCAAATTCCAACGAAAATGGCTCCATAGACTTGACAGCCTCCACCTTCGCGTCCTCAAGTGTAAGCTTGTCCCCGTATCTGGCGAGCATTTCCGGTGTCATAGCACATCCGATCCGCTTCACGCCATGATCTAATTGAACCCAGAGCACATTCCCATGACTTTTGGACTCAATGGAGGCGAAGCCAATATCAGCCTCAGGCATATCAGTCTTGAAGCGCCCATCAATGCGTACCCATCGAAAGTTTGTGTGGTCGCCTTCAAATGGAATACCGGCAAGGCGTCTCACAAGCGAGTGGCTACCATCCGCGCCAACAATGAATTTACTAATCAGCAATATCAGTATAGGCCTCTCGAGCAACATTGATTGATGATTGCTCACATACCTTCTCACCGTCAAGCTTCTACCCGAACAAACCTCTGTCACATGCGAGACGACTTTATAATCATCATCACAGGCTTCCTCAACGGTGAAGCCGTCTAATCTCCAACCGATGTACGGCTCGCCTCGAAGCGATACATATGCATCACGAATTACCTCCTCCGAGAACTTCTGGCGAATATTCAAACAATAATCCAGGAACGTGCCACGCATATGCTGGTACATAATTTCCCAGCCTCTAGACGACACCCGCTTGCCGTCCCTGTACGTCACACTGTCACGGGCCACATAGCCAATTTGGTTCAGGTCGTCTAATATACTCAATTGATCCAGCAATTCAAGCGTGCGTGGGTGGAGAGTTGTTGCGCGGCCATACATTGCCTGTTGGGCTTTGTCATGTTGCTCTGTGCAAAGCTGTTAACAGAGCTCTGCTTCTTAGAGGAACTCAGAAGACAGAGTAAAGTGAGAAAGTCTTTACCAACGAATAAGGTATCCACACCCTGTCTAGCAAGTGCATACGCAGTAAGCAAACCAGTAGGCCCACCACCGCTAATGAACACGTCCGTTTTCTTTATCTCGGTCATATGGAAACTACGTCCGCTCAGTAGTACGAGATAAAATTGGGTGTATCACTCAATAGAAACAAGCCATGCGGTTGTGACAGTGTGAATAACTCTGAGGTTTGATGCGGAGTTCCCGGGCTTTTAAGCCAATCCAGCTTGTCTCATGTATAGTGTCAACGAGGAGTTGCACAGGGAAATCGTGAGAACCCCTCACACATGACAAGGTCATGTGCTGGATTTATGCAAGTCCTTCTTAGGGATCGGCAGCCTTTGATTGAAGAGTCATGTGACTTGATAAGTCTAAGCTACGCTCAGTGATTCGGTTTGTAGCTCGCAGAGTAGAATAGGTTGCTTGCCATAATGATAGTGACATAGGCCTTGTATTTCGGGTTCCTAGCTAGTCCTGTATGCTGACCAGGTGGCCCTCCCCTCTTCGGAACATTCAATTAGCCTCAACGATGGTTGGGCTTCATGGTGTTCTGGGTTTTCGCGGTAAAACTTACTTGATAGGATAACCGGATATATATACTTTGCACGAGCTCCATCTGTTATGAGAAAGACGGCGTACGATTTATCGTTCGCAGGGCAAAGGCAGAGAATCATCTCTAGTACTAAATTGTCTCATCGTCGCTGCATTCCATAATGGCATCCACACTTCATGCTAATGTTAGAAAAATGATGGTGCTGTCAACCAAAGGTCAACCCATAGCATCTCCATCAAAGAACTGTTTACATCATCTCCACTCCAGAGAGAGTCCAATGCCTCAGAAAATTGAGTATCCAGGGCGCCTTGGGTGGAATCATCGCCAACTTCTGATCCAGCGAGAGTCGAAAGGTAGTTCGGTGCCCTAGGTAAACTTGTGTCTCGGCCCAGATATTGCCCTGTACTCTGAGGCACAGGTTTATTGGCAAGCACTCTAGATTCTTGTCCTTGGCCGTCTAGAACTTGAGATAGAGTCTTCCGCAAATTTGTGGCGCAGTTTCTGGCCGTGTTGCTGTACGGGTTCATGTTTTCCAAGCAGTCACAACAGCTTTTCCAAGCATTCTCCAAGACTGGCTGAGAAAATTTGGACGTCATAGCAGGAGACGCCTGAGCCAGTATGAGAACAACACCAGCGGTAAAAGCATCTAGTGGTTGAGTTCAGCGGCCGTCACTTCATACTAGTCACGGGAAGAACATACAAAAGACATTGTACCACCACACACTTGCTAATTCAGTCGTTGAAATATCATTCATAAGGTGCGACAGCTCAATCGCAGTTTCAACACATGATGTCGAGCAGCTGATACTGAAATCCACGGATATTCTGCTTTTTGATAATACTTGTTGGTATCGAGGGTAGCCACCCGCTTGACGCGGTGGGAAACCGTTACGGCAAAACTTGACAAGCGTAGGACGAAGGAGCAATATTCTCAAATGAAGGAACCTGGGGCGAAAGCTTAGTGACCTTTCAACGAATGTATCGCAGGAGTATGTACCTTCCCCTCAACAGACTGCTCTCACGACGGAATGGTCCAGCCACATCCGCGGGCTGCTGTGCATCACGCCATTGTAGAGCCACTGGAAGGTTTGATTCAAACGCCAGAAGCTCCTCATCCAAACTTAGCAATGTCTGGGCTAGCTCGTTTTCAGACTTTGGCCGCTCTGACTGATCAGGAGCCCTCTCGTCCTCCCAAGGTTCATAGACCTCGGATAGAATCTTTCGTAGTATTTTGTATAGCTGTAGAGTTCTGACATAGAATTCAGTTCCTGAAAGCGTTTCCGTTGATGGTTGACATGTTGCCATGCTTGAATCGAGATATTCATCATCGATAGCTTCTGGAAGAGGTACTGCGGAAGAATGAGTCATGGGAGGTCGACCCAACATCATACTACTTGCTCTTGGGATTCTGTTAGTAATAAAAACGATCCATAATCTGAAGCACTCACAGATCAAGCATTACACATCCATGCCAGACGCGCCTTCTCATCTGTATTTGGGCTGGAGTTCTGGCCCTATCTGCCTTAAGAGAATGCATTCCAAGTGACTGTGCAATTCTGCAAGCAAGACCAATAATATTCCAACATCTCGATGGGGACTCGCCTCCTTGCAAGTATTGTGATGTCAGGAGTAATGTTTGTACTAGGGCTAAATCACCTTTATCAAGTGATATCATGTTCAGTAGTCGCTGCGAGCGCTGAAAGAACTCTTCTGCCGTAGCTTCCCGCGCCGTTTGATCTAATTTGGAGAAGTGGCACCCTAAAGCAAAGATAATGTTCAATGCACAATGGAAGAGTGGCAGGGACACGCATGCATCTCCTAAGCCCAGCCCAGACAAGATGGTCTCCGCGTCTGTCTCTGCCAGTGGCATCCATAGGCGTCCATAAGCACGAAGGAAGCTTGTCTTATGGACGTATGGATACAGGCTGTGTATTTTTTCGAAATAAAGGTTTAAAAGGTAGTCAGCTAGTTGCCGTGGTGGTAGATCGTAGGCTTTGACACTCGGACCATTCTCAGCCACCGGTGGCATGGCAATTGATGTTGTGCCAGAAGTCGCACGCGGAATCGGATATGTTGTCGAGCTTCCTCGTTCAGGCTCTTTCGTTGCAGAATCTTTGATTTGCTTCAGAAAAGAGGCGACCGAAGAGTCACCGAAGAACTCGTCCTCATTCTCTGACAAACCGAAGAGTCCGTCGGGTGTTATACCCATTGCGGTGATTCGGCTTTGGCTTCCTCTCGAATTTCGGAAGCCCGAGGCTTGCCTTGTTTTAGGACTAAAGGCATTGTTTTCGTCATTGCTCATGGGGGAGTGTGGAAATATAGCAGTACGGTCCCCTTCCGCAAGTGCTTGCAGAGGCATGCTCTGAGAGCCAACGGTATTTTTATCCAGCTCACTCCGATTACTAACACCATTTGGCGTTCTCAGTCCATTTTTGGGTCCTATTGAAGCAAGTGGGCTTCCAGAGGCAGGAATGTGAGTGGCTCTTGTAGATGCAGCTCGATCAACGGTGTGTAACCGGTGTATATACCTGGCAGTTATAACTACAGTTGGCTCGAAGTATGTCCAGTATATGTGCAGCAGGGTCTTACTGATTGTCCCGAATTTTCCTTGCGCTTCCAACGGGATAGGAGCACAAGGTCTCTCGTCGCTTACATGGGCCACAGGTTGGCTCAATGCCGTCGCAGCGGATCTTTCGGGCGCGACATGGTGTACAGGCGATCGCTATCTTTCTTCTTTTATTATGTTGTTGGGACTAATCATAAGTCATTAGAACGATGCTGCTACTGTTGTGGAAGCAGGTAAGTACGTACCATTCTGATCAGCAAACGAATAGAAGCGCAAGGTGCCCTGTCGGTAAGACCTAAAGAGAACGAGTATAAACATTTAATCTAAACTTGTATGCATCTGTTGTATACAGGCAAAAGATCTGTGACTTGCGAAGAGTCGGACGTCTTCGTTCTATGTCTCGCTGATACCCCAGATCAAGTGGGGCGAGCCGCCTCCAGACGTAGTAGCGTGACCGCTCCTCGTTGTTGCGCAGAGAAACCGCTCTTTCAACAATCGTTTTCTCTCGGATAGATTGCCGACTTCCTAAGAAGAGTATATCTAGAGTGACCTCACATTTTGTCTGAAACTGTGGAAATCGAACAATATTGCTATGTAGTGGAAGTCTGCATGGTGAAGCACTAATGCCTGAAGCGTTCACAACAGCGTACTCAAGATATTCGCCAACGTAACGGCATTCAGAAACCCCTCGCCATGCGAATTTCACTACCCAATCTCTTATCAACATTTTCCAGTTACATCCCTGATCTTGATGTTCCCCATTACTCTCATTCTCTCAAGTTTCCCCTCATCTTCAAGCAAAAGGAGCAGTCATACCCCACGCGAAGTCAGTTGACTGTATCGGAAGTGTATCGGATACTGTACCGGATGCTGTATCGGCAGATGTATCAAAACCAATGCCGGGTGCAGCTTCCTGCCATCATTGACCCATTGATCACCACTCTCGGCTTGTTTTGCAAAAGCATCTCTCGCATCGATGGGTTATAAGCTAATTATGCAGTTCTTCATTTCCATAACCATAGTATTCTGATTGTGGTTCAAAGGGCTGATGCCGATCCTACACTTGCCTCGTCTGTCAGGGGAGTGGAGAAGTTACTTAGTTGTCCAGAATCCTACTGATTTAACCTCAGGTAGCTGCCTGTTCTCTTGTTCGTGCTTTGGCTAAAGATTGTTATTGGCTGTATCAAATATACTGGATTTTTGACTGTAACATATCCTTTCAATCCGTTAGAAGATGGGCCTCTCTCTCCGACCCGATAACTTGGAACTCCAAGGGCCTTGGGCATACTACCAACAGGATGGAGAAAATCGCAAACATTAGTACTGGAAATCTAGACGTGTGGTATTGTTCAGCTATCATAGCCAGCTACAAAGTCTAAAGCCACTTGGGAGTCAATGCATCGGCGTCGTAAAATTAAAAGGCAACGCAGAAACGCCACCTTGATGCTTTATCTTATTACAAATATTATGTCCACACACTTGTCAATCGTACATCCTCAGAAAGGCCCCAACTTCCAAATTATACGTTTCCCGTCCAAAATCATAGTATCAAATACAAGGGAGTGAAAGCAAGATGAGGTAAGAAGACTCAACCTACTCCTTCTTACCCGCGCTCTTCTCATCCTCCGACTCACTCCAATCCAGCAGCTCCATAAGCTGTTCTTCGGAAAGGTTGTGTGTCCGGCTCTCAGCCTCCTTCTCCAAGTTCTTCATGTACTTCTTCTGCCTCTTCCGGGCGTTCTTTCCCCACTCAGGCACGCCGCTCGCCGTCGCGAAGTCCTCGCCATCTTCAATCTCATCGTCCGTGTTCTCCACTTCTCCGAGAACCCTGCCACCGCCGCCACCGCCACGGAGCTCATTAGCTGACACCTTAGCCTTCCTGGCATCCTTCTTGGCCTTTTCCTTCTCCATCTGCTTCTTGCGATCTCGGTCGTGCATGTACTTGAAGAAACGCTCGATGTATGGCCGGACGAGAATGTAGCCAACCACAGACAAAATAACCTTTGTCCAGCGGTTGATGCTCACATCAGCGAAGGAGGCATAGAGGTTTCCGAAGAACCGAGTAAAGATAGTCTCGCAGAAGGTGTAAAGTTGGCCGAAGAAGTCGTTGAGAGCATCAGCGGCGATATCGCCTGGATCGCGGGTTGCCATTGTGATTGGTATGTTATCTTTTCACTTATAAGTGACCGCGTGTCCGAATGTTGCTGGGTTGCGTGGAGGGGAAGTCGCCGGCTTGGGCCGGAAGATAGTGGATGTTTTTGTTGGGAAGCGTTGTTGTGGGGTCTTGGAGACTCAGGAGGCAGTTCGCCGGTTGAAGCTAATGAGTTGCTTGCAAGACAATTATTTTGCCTGACAGACTGACAGATAAGTGTAAGGAGAACTCCCTGGTCCGGTGAACAGGCGTGGAACTTGATGGACAGTAGAGAAGAATTCCGAATGTGGAAATGGGTCGTTCGGGTCTAGCGTCATTCCGCGCTCGGAGTTATGGATTCTCCGGGATGAGCGGAGAAGCCAATCACAACCCGTTCCCATTTGTATGTCTGTTCAACGCGTCTTCTGGAGACACGGGCATCGCGCGTCCAAGACTGCTGGATCCATCAACGAGATATTCCATCTTACCGCCACGGTAGAACAGCTTGTTTCGCATTCTATCACTTCCAACATACACAAGCTTCTGGTTTCTCGATAGTCTCGATACAGGATGGAGCAGAACGAAGAAGTCAACCTGGAAGAGGTAAGTATACATCAACCATGGCATACATAGCACATAGTAACAAGTCGTCTTGCAGCGCTTGAAATCTGCCCTCTGGTTGTCGATTGGAAAGATCGTGGATGAAGAGACTATTAAGCTTGGTGTCAACGCCACCCCTCAGTTTATCGGCGCTTTGACTGAAATGGTCTGGGCCCAAATTGGTAGGTACATTTTGTACGCGAAAGTATTTGCAGACGAGTCTCGATGCCGCTCACTCGTTGCATGGTGACTTTCGTCATATCTCGATCACTGACCAGCCGCTGACTAAGGATGATGAACAGAGACGGTCAGTCAGGATCTGGAGTCATTTGCTAAGTAAGTCACGATCTGTAAGCCCTGGTTCCTAATTAGCAGGGCCTGGTTACCCTGATTTGATGTGGCCGTGACCGTCCAGGGCCGATCTGGATAAGGATATGCTTGACCTTGGTTCCGGGCTAACGCTCGGAATTTCCTATTTAGGCATGCCGGGCGCTCAACAGTCAATGTCGCAGATGTGATGCTACTTGCACGCCGTAACGAAGGACTAGAATCCATCTTGCGAGCATTTGTTGAGCAACAGCGTGAAGAAGAAGCTTAATTGGTCGGGTTTCTATTCCCCACGCTTGAGCCTTGCACCTTCGCAGACTAAAGTACTATGTGGCAGTGGGGGCAGATGGTTGGCGATTACCCATCGCTACCACTCAGAATTGCCTCGACCTTTGTTCTAGAAACCTTGCGCGCAGTGCTGCTGATCTCCCTAGGCTGACAGGTGCTGGACACCAATGGTTGGACAGCCTGGTTGTTCCGTTTCGTGTGACAGCTGCGGGACTTGATATTGCTCAGTGTCATGCGTCGGATTGCCGGGAAATATGACGCCACTGCCCAGCACCCCACAAACTGGAAGATGCGCTTCGCTCCCCGACGCCATCTCAAGCCACCCCGTTTTCGATTGTTGGTCGCTTGCACGTTGAGCCACAATTAGCAAATTCTTGAACCTGAATTAGCGCCACTGAATCCCAGCAAATCATGGGATGGCTAGTTGGGGCTCTATGATATTTCGCAGGCCAATAGCATGGCGCCGCGCAGAATGAATGCAACATCGTGGATGTTGTAATGGTTGTCAAAGGAACAAGACGCGATGGAACCAATCAGATTCAATGGCCTATCAATACATCATGGTCTATCGAACCTAATTCAGACGAGCGGCTTATTGTACTATAGATCTATGATCTCGGGTGACCATGATCAACGTCATCAAAACGTCTAGGATCTATTCGCCTCAGTTAACATTTCATATAAAATCTAATTGAAGCTTTCAGACCCTTGGGCTCTGCAATAGAACTATATTCCGGATAACTGAAGGGTTTTTAATATTCAATATCATTTTATGGGACGCTATAATTCTCCCTCGCAACAATGTTGAACACTGCAACCGACTCTGTCAATACATATCGGACAACACTAAAGACTACGCCTGTCATGAAGGCAGCGCGCTTCCATGGTCGCGGCGACATTAGGGTTGAGGAAATTGAAGAACCGACATGCGGCAAAGGGCAGGTGAAGGTGCGCTTCGTGCGCCTAGCAATCGCGATGATCTGCGCTAACCGATCTACTATTAGATGCGACCATCGTTTGTTGGGATCTGTGGCAGTGGTAAGTTCGCGATTGACTTCTGTATCGAAATTTTCTAAAATTATTCGCGAAAGACATCCACGAGTACTCTGGAGGCCCTGTTCTGGTACCAGAAAAGCCTCACGGAATCACGGGAACCAGCCTACCAGTCACACTCGGGCACGAATTCAGCGGAATCGTCGAAGAAGTCGGAGAGGGCGTGACCCATGTCTCTCCGGGACAACGAGCGGTGGTGCGGCCGACCATCTTCGATCGAGAATGCACGTCATGCAAGCAGGGCTATGAATACTGTTGCGAGAAGATTGGATTTATCGGGCTCTCGGGTACGTCCATATCCGTACAGGATTTGGCATGCAGACCTATGCACTAACCAGCTTGGTAGGCTACGGTGGTGGGTTAGCAAAGTACATCGTAGCACCCGCAGAACATTTCTATACGATCCCCGACAACGTATCCCTCGAAGCAGCAGCATTGGTCGAACCGTTGGCAGTAGCCTGGCACGCCGTAAACATATCGCCCTTCAAGCCAAATGACAACGTTTTGGTACTAGGGGGCGGACCAGTGGAATTGGAATCATCCAGGTGCTCGAGCTACAGGGGGCAAAGAATATCATGGTGGCGGAGTTGACGGAGAACAGGAAACGGTTTGCTTCTAATTACGGGGCAACACATATCCTGGATCCGCGAGAGGTAGACGTTGCCGCAAAGGTTCGCGAGTTGACCGACGGCGTAGGAGTGGATGTTGTCTTTGATACGGCTGGCGTGGAGGTAGCTCTGAATGGAGCCATTGCGGCATGTCGAACGCACGGAACGATAGTAAACATTGCTGTGTGGGAGAAACGGCCAGCCATTCGAGTCAACGAATTGATGTATAGCGAGATCAACTATACAGGGTCAGCACTGTACGATGAGAGCGCGTTTCGCGAGGTCATTCGGGCACTTAGTTACGGTGAGTTGTGTGGTCTCGTTCTTGTCCCCATTGGCTTTGCTGATAGTGTTCTAGGTCAGCTAAAACCTGAGCGAATGGTCACGTCGAAAATTAGGCTGGATGAAGTCGTGGAGAAGGGCTTTCAGGCTCTGGTGGATGATCGTGACTCTCATTGCAAAATATTGGTCGATGTGCAGGCTTGATGGACTTTGGACCAGTGTGGGCATAACCATCGTATAATCCTAATGTGACAACTCTTAACTGATGATCCCTATATGCTATTGATCGGATAATACAAGGGTTTGTTATCTTGTATTGCCGCAAATTTTGTAGGGTGTCACGGCTAGTGTACTACCATCTAGTAGTTGATAGTAATTCTTTGCAATCTTGGAGTTGCTACTATGCAATTACCCCAAAAGCGGTGCGACGGAGATAAATATGTCGTTGTACAGATGCCCACCGCAGAGCCATCCGCTAAGCCCTGACTTTGATAAGCAGCACTCTACGACTCCTGACTAGGATTTATTATAATAGATAGAATTTGGCAACAGCTAGCCTATCAGAGAACCTATAATCTCGAATCATACATGCCAGAGTCAGCGTACTATGTGTGACATGAAACAAGCCGTTGACACATGCAAGTGACCCGCCACCCGCAAATGATCTAGACCCCACTTTTATGTTGGCTTATTTAGCCAATGCACGGAACGTTTTTCAACAAGCGGGTCCCATAGCTCAGTTGGTTAGAGCGTGACGCTAATAACGTCAAAGTCGAGGGTTCGAGCCCCTCTGGGACCATCTTTTTGCTTTTTTTTCTTTCCTTCTCCCCTATAACTAACAACGTCTTTGAGTTGTGCTTTTTTAATCATGCTGCACATCTTCTTTTGTAGGTAGCAAAACCAAATGAATCTTTGTGGCCATTATCCAGCGGTGGTCTGAACGGACCGCGATCCACAATAGCCACATCTCCTCGTTCGTTCAGAAACTGGCTTCTTCATGCAATGCAGGCTTGAACATCCTTTTAGTGGTCGAGGTAAGGAGAGGGAGATAATTCAGAAATATGTTAGAAACATGCTCACTCCCAGTATCAGCCGCCTATTGGTATTAGTTTTGAATCGAGTTTTCCAGAAATTCATATAAGCGCACTATAGTGCGAGAGAACTACTAACAACCTAAGTGAGGGAAGAGGTATAAATGGAAGAATTTCATTGGACAGTAATGCTTATTTTCTTTCCTGTAGAGTATTGGTTATTTGGTCATTATGGTCTATGTTAATTACGAACTGCAGCAGTGTAGGGCGGTGGGAGACAACCACTGTTATGATGCTACGCAGGGATTGTATCGATGTCACCCTCCCAAATCATAATGCAGAGGTCGGTATCTATTCATCGATTGCCTGTGGTCTGCCTACGCGAGTAACATTGGTCATAGACAATCAGAGACTGATCCATCCATCACTGGGAATAGGTAGCAGGGAGGCGATTGTCTGCGGATCACAAATACTACCATTGGTTCACAGATTATACATTGATGGGATGGCCATGATACAGTGGAGCTGAAGGCACATAAATGTCCATGAGGAGTTTAATAAACATCCTTTTCAAATCCCGGAGTGGGAGGCCGTATTTCATATCCGTATGCCAACTGTCCAAGGCTGGGGTGGCTGCTTGTGTCGCTAGGTCCTGCAATTGACTGAAGAAGTCTGGTCAAGCTGCATCGTCGTGCGGCTATCTATACTATAGCATGCACTAACGGTCGCATATGGCAATCGAAAGTCCAGCCTGGAATCACCCGTAGACTTTCCTGCACGCAATGGTTGGTTAGTATGACTCGGTTTAGCATGACGTGGGTACAACAAGATAAACACAAAAATAAATAAAGCTCATGCTAATACTTGATTGTATTCAATGGGTCAACCCTCGCGCCAGTTGGTGAAATAGGATAGAGAGGCGGACACGTATAGAAGTAAAAAAGACAAAAAGATGGTCCCAGAGGGGCTCGAACCCTCGACTTTGACGTTATTAGCGTCACGCTCTAACCAACTGAGCTATGGGACCCGCTTGTTGAATGAGCGGGAAAGTTAGTGCTAAATAGACCAAAGAGGTTAACACAAGACAACAAACAGCTGGGTCTGATTGAACTAAACGACAGTTTACCACAACCACACATTTCCTGGTCCAGTAGAAGAAGCAGGTTGCTCATTGACAAGTCCTGAATCACACGGATAGAGGGAGGGAAAGTTGCACAGAACTTTATCATCAGCTATCATTAAGTACAGTATGCTCAAACGACTCGTCATGAGCAACCTATACCCGCTCAAGGTAACTGTGCCGGGCTTTCATTCTTTACAGGATCTGCCACTTTATTGATAACATGGGATGTGGAAGCCCTACCAAGTATTTTGGGGACCCCTTGCCAGATGGTAGTTCAAGCTGATAAATGACTGGCTGATGCTCTCCATACGTTTCTCTTGAACAGTTTACTGGGTGAAGTAGAAAATATAAAACGAAACAGGTACATGAAGCTCATTCGTGGGCACGCATTGTACCGGGCACCTTTGCAGCACGTGAACCAAGATATTCCCTGTTCCTTTAAAATGATAACGACCAGTTCAGCGGCGAAGATAGACCAAGTGTAACCGAGAAAAAGCTAGTATTATTGACTCAACTATGATTACTCTACAAGAGACGGTTAGTCAATGGATGAACCAAAAGGAGACATAGAATCAAGATCCAAATATGCACAAATATTAGATAAAAGCTTGCCTTGTAATAATAATTCTCTGGCCTGTGTTGCAGCAACAGGCTAAGCCTCTGGCGCTATCTGCTGTGTTTCCGTAAACTGATACTTGCCAAATTGACGCGTGGGTAGCTTCTGCTGGAACATGAAATCCAGTTCCTCAAACGTTCGGCCTTTAGTCTCTGGCAGAAAGAAGTAACACCAAAGTGTGTCCAAGACACCGATGCCAGCAAATAGGAATCCCAGTTTGCCGCCCCAGTTGGAGCCGGTAGTGTCCAGTGCATAGGGAATGGCGACAGCAAATATGACAGACCATACCACAACAGTGACATTGGACAGGGCTATAGTGACACCTCTCAGGTTAACGGCAGAAACCTCGGACATGACGGTGAAGCACAATGGTCCCACCGACATGTCGTAGATGAGGTTGCATACCACCATGAGGGCGGACATGGCCCATGCAGGCCCTGAATTGTGTTGGGGCACTGCAGCCAAAATCCCGACGAGAAGGAGTAGCAAGGCGATCACGGTAGAGCCCCACAGATAGATGGTGCGCCGACCGGCGTATGAGATGAGAATGTAGGAGGCTAGCGTCCCAACGAAGCCCATGCATGTCAGGCCCACGTTCATTGAGAAAGCGTCCGACGTATCTAGACCAGCAATTTCAAAGAAGTAAACGGCATAGTTTATGAATAAGATATTACCACAGAGGGCTTGGATGTTGAAAGCCTGACAGGAGATAATAGTGCGCCGTAGGTTTGTACCGCGAAAGCAGTCGGTAATGCTGGGCTTGGTCCTAGAGCTTTCCTCTAAGCGGAGTGTCTCTTGGATGTGAGCGAGGTACGCGTCCACATCAACTGCGGATGTCGTCAGACGCTGAATGGATTTCCGCGCTTGCTCTGGTCGGCCTTTCTTGCAGAGCCAGTATGGAGGAGTTGGGCAGAAGTATATGAGCGAAAGGATGAAGACAGGTAGAGCCCATTGTGAGGCGAATGGGATCTTATAGGCCCACTTGCTATCCATCGTACTGGTGCCCTTGAGCAGTCCTGATGCCACTAGTTGACCAATGACATAGGACAGGTTTATGACGGCAGCAAGGACACCGCGAGCAGCAACAGGTGCAACTTCACTAACATAAGCATTGGCGAGGACAGGGTAGACACCTGTGATGAATCCGTTGAGTAGCTCGCCAACGAAGAGAAGAGCTGGGCCTTCACTAAAGAACTGAAAGAAGATGGACCCGATCGAGCCGATCGAAGCCGCAGCGAGGGTCATGCGCGGACCATACTTGTCGTAGGCGATGCCTGCCACCAGCGAGCCAGGCACACTGCCCACGTATGACGCATAATTGAAGGCAGACAGCCAAGAGGGAGCAACCGCATATTGCCCGTCCACCCATCTTCCATATGTGCGAACAAATGGGGTCAACCCTACCAGACTCCCAATCAAGGCGCCATCAAAGCCACACAGAATGACGGCTAGGTTGACGAAGCAAGACCAGAACAGGGCTGGACGGTAGAACTGACACGCCTTCCAGAATCCAAGGCTATGCTCGAATCTGGCGTGAGCCAGGGACCTTTCTGCATCATTGGTTTGTTCAATGCCAGTCTCTTCAACGTTACTAGGTAACTGTTTGACGACCTCATCATCCGGAACCCCTAAGTTTTTTCTATCTCTCTCTAAAGACATGACTAGATTAGAATCAACGATACAATAAAAGGAGCAAACCAGGTTTCTCGCTAAGGGAATCGGTCACGCACACTCTGGACGCAAGCCTCTACTTTATACTTGAGTCTTGCCGTGGTTTATCGGATTGCTATATCTTGAATTCATAGACCTGCAGGGTCCAAACACCATGAGGAGGAGGAGCAGCACGGCTGATAACGAGTTAAGTGCCAACTGGAGTCCTCCTGACTATCAGGATGAAGAAGGATGAAGGAAGAAAGGAAGGTCCAAGCAGCCCACGGTAAACCTCAGGCCAGTGATTGGTTGGGTCACCTGCCGCCACCCCCGGCCATTCCCAACTGGGAAGGCGCATTAAGTTAGTCGGGAGGAGTTGCTTATCAGTGCGTTCATCCAGCTGTATTCTTGCTTTACCAGCTATATAGATGACTGCTCTCGCTTCCGGGAGTAGTACAGTAAATTCCCTCGATTGCTTGACCATCTTTTTCTCTGTCTCATTGCCACAATCCCAATGGAGAACGCCACCATGACAACCCCGCAGCTGGTTCAAATTACACTCTCGGACGAGGAACGCGCTACTAAGACTCTCTCTTCTCATAACCTTCAAGCAGCTCTTGAGGGTCTCCATCGGGATGGCGTATGTGTCATTACTAACGGCGTTGACCCTATTCATCTCGATAAGCTGAACGATCGCATGGTCCCCGAGGCCAAGACCCTGTATGCCAATCCACAAACCCACCGCAACTTTGGCTCTCGTACCGGAAACATCCAGCAAGAGCCTGTTGTCGACTCGAGCTATATGTTTGAGGACGTTATTGCAAACCCCTGGGCAACTGCCATCACCGAATGCATGCTGGGACCCAACCCACACCTGCGTTTCTATAGCGCCAACACGGCCTTCAAAGCTGAAGACCGACAACCGGTGCATGTAGACGTGCACTTTGACTTCCCCAAGATGCCATTTGGACTATGTATCAATATAAACCTGGTGGCGACCTCTCCGGAAAATGGCGCTACTGAGCTCTGGCCTGGTAGCCACCGGGACGCCGATCCTCGAGACAGTGACGACACCGGTGTGATCCCGGAGATCGTTGAAGCACGGCGCAGGGTTTCTCCCCCAGTGCAGCCATCGCTACCCAAGGGAGCGATTATTATTCGGGATTTCCGGCTGTGGCATGCAGGCATGCCGAACCGCACGGATGACCCGCGTGTTATGCTCGTGACAATTCATTTCCCGGCGTGGTATCGTACAGACTTAAAGGTCGTGTTACCTCGGAGCTTGCAGGGAAAGGTGGACTGGGGTCATCTAGTGCCGTGCGTTGAGTGGGTGGACGAGGACTATGACTATTCGAAGGGCCGGCATGACCATGACTTTACATTGCAGCCATAGATAGCAGAAGCTTTCCAACTATTCAAGTCAACTTGACCGTAAAGATAGTCGATGAGTCAAATATACACTCTGTGAAAATGGTGCTCCGGAGCATTAGAGACATATGAGAAGCGGACAAGAATGATACCATCGTCAGTATATTTACGAACATATTGAGATTGTGATAGAAGAGTCATGTGCCATCCAAACCGAGGGTGGGGGCACAAAGAGTTGCCTGAGGCCTTAAGTAACTATTCGGCTGTGCTCCGATTGGACAACTGAGTGCTCATGCTCCACGCGGTAAGGCAGCCAATCAGCCCTGTGCCAGATTGCCGCACGGGCTGCCTAAGACGGGGGATCTCAGCGAGGCTGCCTATTCTTATATCACCAACAAGCCACCTCTGTCATCCCTCGTCGAGATATTAACCGGCTAGTACTATCTAACTCTTCTAGAAAGCAGAAAGCGTTGACCATGTCGCGCGCGTTGGCCGAGAACGACGCTATACCCAGCGACTGGCGGACTCGACAGCCGGGCTGGATCATTTGGCTGCTTATATCGGTGATACGAGTCTCACTAGTGTCTCTGGTCCTTGGCATCTACTACACAATACCCTCATTCCGGCAGAGTCCGGGATGGACATATCGCCAAGCATTCACCACCCGCCTCATGAAGCTAGCCATGACCATCATCCGCGAACTCGGCTACGCCCAGTCCCTGAGCCTGGAGCCAGACAAGCTGGGCAGCCAATGGGTTCTCATGAATCCAGCCCCGGAAGACTCGTATCGCGGTGCTTTCACAAGCGACACCATCAAACCTGAAACGATCGGCGGGACTTGGTATCCCTCACCACCATCGAAGTCATTGCCACCATTCATCGACATCGACAATGATCAAGAGCAAGAAGTAGATGACGAGAAGAGCCTAGTCATCTTATCATTCCACGGCAGCGCATTCCTATGGCTAACTGGCCGGCCCGATGACTCCGGCTTCACAGCCGACCTGCTCAACGAGAAGCTGGGTACAGGCACCCGGTCGCTATGGGTGCAGTACCGGCTAGCAGGTGGCAACAATCCCACCCCATACCCGGGGCCCATGCAAGACGCCGTGACCTCATATCTCTATCTCGTTCGAGAACTGAATATCTCGCCATCCCGTATCGTGCTCGTGGGCGACTCATCCGGAGCTACCATGGCCATGGCTCTATTGCGTCACCTCGCCTCGTTCCAGCAGGAGAGCGGCCATGAGCTTGCAGAGCTGCCCCCGCCCCGGGCGTGTCTGCTGTTTTCGCCCTCCGTTGAGTACAGCTTCGAGGGCGATTCGCAGGCTATGAACGCCCATCGGAACCTGCGGACTGACTACTGTGAAGGGAAGATGGCCGCGTGGGGTGCGCGTGCTTTTGCCCCGCCAGAGTCGGTGCGTCTGGATGATCCGTACCTATCACCGGCGTTGCATCCGTTTGCGACGCCTGTTCCCATCTTTGCCCAGGTTGGAGGTGCGGAGGTGTTGTGTGATAGTGTCCGGGGGTTTGCGGATGCGATGGGCGCTGTTCCAGGCAACATTGTCGAGTATCTGGAGGTGCCGGGGTTGCCGCATGATATTTATATGATGGGACATATCCTTGGGTGGCAGGAGGAGCAGGAGGAGATGATAGAGGCAGCTGCACGGTTTGTTCGGGGAGTCTAGCTTTTCTCTTTCGTCGAGTTTCATTCTCCGACTTTTACAAGAGGGTTTTGCCTTTGGAAATGATCTTGATACCCTGGTCTATGTAGTTTTCGGTCTCAACTCGAAAGGACGATAATTTCGTTATATTTTATCTTCCCACCATTTCTTTCCGTTTTGAGAATCCATTAGACTAGCATCTAGTTTCTAATTTGTATGGCATAGCTTATTGGAATCGATATCCACAAATGTATTCGTTTAGCATGACCAGGGGTCCCACCTGTTTTGTATATTATCTATCCATAATGTTATACGAATACGTTCAGTATCTTCTGGAAGAGGAGAGAAGAAAAATAATTCGCCTATCTACCCGTGACGATACTTGTATCGCCAGACGAAAGAGATCCATACCGTACTCACGTGCGCCTGTCATTGTCCGGTAGCATTAGTAAGAGCAAACAGCAAGATTAACTGGCAGTTATTTTGTGACCAGATTGCCTGACTAACTGTACTGGAGACAGCACTAAACTGGTGCCATTATACACAAGTGCAAAAACAGTGTGTCTGGATGAAGGTTTGCAATGCAACTATACACAGTAACTTATTCAGCAAAGTAAAGTGCTAGTGAGTAAGTAACAGCTATACACTAGTGGTAAACGAAGGTAAAAACGAAAAATAACTATGATACATCGCATGCCTCAGGCATGATGAGAATCGATAAAGGAACAGACGATTCCGTACAACAGTGTGGCACGCCAACCTACCACTCAGGCATGGTGGCAAACCAGCTCTTAATGAATTCGATGCGCTCCTCGCTAGCAGAAATAGGACCCGCACCCCAAGAGTCACCCAGCCACATAGTCTGCTTAGTCTCGGTGCTAGGCGGGAAGTGAGGGAGGCCGTCGCCGTTAGGGTTGCCGGTACGGATGAAGTTAGCCCAGTAGTTGGACATGTACTCCTCGACTTCATAGTCATAGGGGTACCAAGTAACGTTAGAGTAGTCGGAATAGGGGATGTTGTTGAAGGTGTACCAGAGTTCTGAGCCGTGATAGGCGCCCTCGCCACGGTTCTCGGCCGGGGAGCGGGTGAAGTAGTAAGTGTAGACAGGGCTCTTGGCACCACCTTCGGCCCAGGCAAGAGCCCACTGCCAGGTACCGATGCGGCTCATGTCGCGGTAGAGGGCATTGGAGTTGTTGTTGGCCTGGGAGGTAGAGTCGCCGGGGTAGAGCTTGAAAAACTCCTCGGAGAAATTCTGGAAAACTTCCTGGTAGAGAGTGTTGTAGGTGGAGGCAGTGAGACCTGGGTCTGGCTCAGCGCCGGACTCGTCCTTGTTGTTTCCGGTGAGAATGGGCACGTCGGCGTGGGCGTCGAGAAGGAGAGACTGGGTGTAGTCATGGGGGAAGACGTAGCCATCGATGTTGGGACGCCACATGGGGGGTTCCATGAAGAAGGCGGAGGCGTTGGCGAACTGAGTGCCCTCGAAGATAGTGTCGCTGAGGGAGTCGTATTCGAGCAGGGTCTCCATGGAGACAGTGGTGCGCAGTTCCTTGATGGACGTGACGTTCAGCTCCTTGAGGAACTCGATACCCTGAGCTTCGGCAGCCACCTTGGTGCGGTGGCTGGTGGCAGCACTGCCGGTCATGGGGTCGTGGGGACCGCGGGCACCGCTCTCAGAGATGACGCCGGCAACGAGGCCCTCGTTCAATGGGCTCCACATGCTGTCCAAGGCGCTGGCCGAGCCGGCCGATTGACCGCCAACAGTGATCTGGCTGGCATTACCGCCAAAGTTGGCGATATTCTCATGAACCCAGCGAAGGGCGGCTTGCTGGTCGAGGATACCGTAGTTACCGGAGCTGTTGTGGCCGGACTCGGCAGACAGTTCGGGGTGGGCGAGGAAGCCGAAGGGGCCCAACCGGTAGTTGATGGTGACAACAATGATGTCCTTGGCGGCGAGACCGGTACCATCGTAGGTCAAGACGTCGCCTGAACCACCCTCAAAGCGACCGCCGTAGATCCAGAAGTACACCGGCAAGTTCTTGGAGGTGATATCGGAGGTGTCATTGTAGTTGGGGGTCCAGATGTTCAGGTAAAGGCAGTCCTCGCTGGTGGTCTTCTTCCCGCTGCTGAAGATGCCTGCACTGCTGTAGGACTGGGCGCATTGGGGACCGAATTCCGTTGCATTCAGAACGCCAGACCAGGGCTGGGGTGACTGGGGCTCCCTCCAGCGGTTTTCACCAGTCGGGGCAGCAGCGAACGGTATACCCTTGTAGACGATGGCGGTGTCACCACCGCGGAATGGGGAGTGTGTGCCCCGCACATATCCCAGAGTGGTGTTCACGATGGGGAGGTCAGAGCCAGCTGATCTTGTCTGAATGGCTGCAGACGCAACCAGCGGCACAGCGGCTGCCACGCCGATTATAGTTGAAACAGCGCGCATGGGGAAGATCGCTGCAGCTAGATGTTGAAGAGAAAAGAATGAGTGCTGAAGGATTGCTGTTATGAAAGTGTGATGGAGTGGCAAAGTAACTGGGAGAGGTTTCCTTTTTATAAAGATGGCCTTCGAGGTATACGCAAGCTCAGAAATGCAAGTCCGAGATTCTACCAGGGGAGACTGTTTGCACCGAGGGTGGTGTCGTCATCTAGCGGGGATTTAAGCCTGTTGTGATATTGCTATGCCTGTTTGATTCGGACCGAGCCATAGTGTTATACCATTTTCTATCGGACCATAGTATCACGTTGCGTCCGGTATGAGGTTTCCCGGAAACTGCTTGGACAGCTGTGAGATGGACCAGAAGCCGTGGACTGTACTTATACTAGTTCTGCATGCCCAAATAAGCTTATCTTGAATTTACCCCGGTCATTTCGTGGATAAGCGCTCGCCACCTGTTCTGGAATTCTTCAAGAATCGTGCAGAAGTCTGTCACACCCGCCGCCATGCCAATTAAGGACTGCGAGCTCACGGCCGAGAGACCCTGCTCCACATGCTCGGAGTCCAGAATCATCAATTTGAGGCAGATATCCACAAAAGCCGGGAGTGTCGGCGTTTAATCCTCGGCTCTTGAGTTATGACCGAGATCTCGGGCCCGACCCCGAGATTGGCGGTCGATCATTCTCCAAAGTAGAGTTTTTGACCGATCAGTCGGCCCGAGTGACTTGATGCGGATGATTTATCGTCCAAGGCACATCAGGTACCAGATGTTGGCTTTTCATTCACATAGTTATTTTGTGTTCGTGTCATGGCATTCGTTGCTATTTACAAGAGATCCTTCATGGGGTTGTGCCTCCACATGGATAGCTAATGTCGTCACTGTACTCCGACAGGTCTCGCCCCGGACAGATTGACCACGCGTCCACCTCCGGCTGTCGGAGGTGCTGCCACCGCTGGTGGCTGGACCCATCCAGGAACGTTGTCATCTTCTTGTTCCCGAGCTAGGATTGTCTGCCAGACATTGGGAAAGCCAGTCGGCACGGCACCACGGAGACGCGCGCCAGGGATCGCCAGACGAGGATTCTTATGAGTCAGGAATCCACGCATCAGACCCTGTGTGAGGAGGGAGGCCAGGATGGACTCGAGCTCGCGCATCATAAGAGTAGGTTTGCCCGAGTCTTGCTCGCTGTCGGCTGGACTCGCGTACGGGTCAAGCTCATATTGCTGGTAATCGACAGGGGGCTGGCCATCAACAAGTCTGCCCGGTGGGTTTAGCTGCCACTGTCCTTGCGCATCGAAATATCCGTCCGGTGCCAAATAGTCTCCGTATTTCTCAATAAGCCCTGGGCTTGCGACCGCCTCTTGTGCGTCCAGCTCGCTGAGCCCCTCGAAATCCCGATCTGTAGCTTTGTGTACGATCTGGGACCCAACCTGATTTTGGCCCGCCTGGGAATCCGGCTCGGGCTTGGAGGCGAAGATTCCAATTGAGCTTTGGCCCGAATGGGCATGCTGAGATTGAATCCACCGGACCGCGGTGTCCAGCTTGTTCAGATAGAGGTACGGTGGCGGTCCACGTTGAGAAGGGCCAAGTGAAGGATCGCCGTGGAAACCGGCATGGATGAAGACCTTTCGTGCAAGTGACCGCCAAACAAGAATCTCGCACCGATTGCGTAGGGCAAGAAGGATGCCTTTCCGAGCGAACCATTCTGTTTCGGGGGAGCCGATTGCAAGGTGCTCGCGAAACGCAATATAATCGCCCCGAGCAATTAACCGACAAATCGGAACGAATTTGTCTACTAGCCCTTCGGCCTCAGGACGTTGCAATAACTGTAATGAGGGGAAGCGCCCTAGTATGATGTTACAAGGGATGAGGTAGGTCAGGATGACTCGTTTTTGATTCGTCGCCTGGCGGTGGCATTGATCGTAAGAAGCTTGCAGGGCGATCTGGGCGGGATAAAAGAGGTTGTTGGAGAACAGATAACGTCCGAGGTAGTATAAATAGGTGACGCGCTGCGAAGCTGGGAAATGTTTCAGAGGAGGGGATTGTGCGCTGATACTCGCAAACATTTGCTCTGCGTTTCGGAGTTTGCCGCACTGGCCTATGTTAGTCCATTGATCGCACTAGAAGAATATCCAGTCATACTTGGAAAAGCAGTTTCAGGCAAAGGTTTGCCATCAAATAGATCCCTATCCTCTTCCCTTCGGGCTTTCCGTGGATACCTGGCGTGCCACTTCTGTCCGTTAGGCACTTAATGAATGCCTCTCGAACGACATTTGCAGATTTCTCCACCAGCGTCACTTTTTCCGTAGCTTCTTCCTGGTTCGACCGGCCTTCGAGTCGCAGCAGGTGGGCGATTAAGTCAGGACGTCGATCGAGGCCCATGGCCAGCTTTGCAAGGACTTTCGAGAGGTACAAGACGGTGGGGAGGACTATAACTCCCATTTGGCTGTCACCTAATGCCAGTACACATTGGCTGAATGGCACAGTTGCGGGTCAGCAATTATGCCAGCAACGAGTTGTATAATACCTACTTCAATAGTCCTTTGAGGAGATCGTATGTTTCGAGCAGGTTGTCCAAGTTGACATCGCGTAGAAAGGTAAAGTATAGCTTCATAAAGGTAGGAAAAGCGGTCCATGGGGCGCCTTTGGTTTTAGGAACGAGGGTTTCGCATCGTCGCATTAGCTCTGTCTCTTTAGGACCGGTCGGATAATGTTGCCGCAATTCCTCCACCATTTGTCGATAAATATCGGGCAAGGGAGGCTCGAGCTGCAGATAGTCTTGAAGTTGGCGCCCATCTCGAGCCTTGACCAGGTCAGCGATGCTGGCGAAGAAACGGTCCAGAGTCGGCGTAGCCATGTTTGGTGGAGGTATGGAGGGATGGTAGCTATCGAAGGCTGTCCGTCACGGATTGCGGGGAGTCGGGCGGAGCGATCAACGATTGGCGCACATGGTGTGATGCTGAAGGCGTACCGAGTCCTGTAGGAGTAACAGGGGGGACGTCTGGCGCGTTAAGCGAGACAGATGAGGGGATTGAATGGGTGGAAGATTGTTGGAGAAAAGGGTTTAATCATGGAAATCATTTGAAGCCGAAGTCTGGGAGCTCCCACCGCCCGCTAGGCCGAATCGGGCAATTCCCGTGCCTGCGCCTGTGCCTGTTGGGGTCATTCTCTCTTCTCTCTTCTCTCGTCAACTTCATGCTCGGATGCTAGAGAGATAATCGACTTCTACGGCTTGCAGCAATGCCCATTGGGGTATTATAATCTATCACGTATCAATAAATGTTCAGAATCCCCTCTTAACACAAGCTATTGCTATGGATGAGCAGATTACTCCGTTCGGCGCCAGCACCGTTAGGCTTCGAGTGAATCTACCACTTACCTGCTTTCAATCACTTACTGGACTATAGAACGAGATTAGGACTGAGATTTACCCCAAGGGAGTAATTACTGAACATACAAAGATTCCTGAGTCGCTCAGACACTTCTATGCGACCGCGATCAAGAACGCGTAGGCATTGCAACAAGCATAGAAGGACTACGTTCGCAGGAGCTTATTAAGGCGCCAGACGTCGGAATTTAGTGCCATAGCTCATGTATGTCGCACAGGAACTTGAGAATGGTGTTACGCATGATTTTATCCGACTGGTTGAAGCTGCGGCTCGGAAACATCCAAATGGACTGGCAGGGCACGGCAGCGCAGAGCGACATATGACTTTATACATGGTGGCTGGATCCATGCTGCTCGGAGCCCAGACATTATCTATGCCTTTAACAATAAAAGAAATCTAATCGGTCTCGATCTGAGGGTAAAAAACACAAGAGGTGTGATCGTCCTCCCTACGCGGATGCCGGCGGGCTTGAATCAAGTCGGATACCCTGTTGGACTCATGCGACCCATTGATGAGCGCGCTCGTATAACCAAGCAATGATCAAGGACAGAGAACGTGATTATCATCGACTGGCTGGGGAAAACCTCCAATGCAGGGCATCCAGGGCCGTGATGAATGAAACATGGAAATTGGCTGTGGCCCGCCTTCACATGCTTCGATCCACCCTCTACGTCATTGCCATCATCATCATTATCGCTTCCGTCCGGTTTCCGCTGCCCTAGAAAAGCACCCCTCCCCGTTCCTGTTCTTCTACCCTAAACGTCCCATTCTTTTATTTCTGACAGTGACCTATATCCATTGACTACAGTATCTTTACACACACTTCACTCGCTAAGCGAATCGCCATCATGGCGGAATCAGAGTCCGTCTTCTCCCTGTCGGCATTTATCCGCAACCCCCTCCTCCAGTCTTTCACCATATGCTACATGCTCTTTCAGAATCTCCTCAACTGGATCTTTGCACCTAATCCGCCAAAGCCTTCCTCGGTTGCCAATGGCGTTCCGAAAAAGCGCGTCGCTGTAATTGGAGCTGGTCTGACTGGAGTATCTGCAGCCGCCCATTGTGTAGGCCATGGCTTCGATGTGGAAATCTTCGAAGCCAGATCGAAAGACAAGGGACTCGGAGGTATCTGGAGTGTAAGCTACGGCCATAAGAAACCCTCACTTTGATGCCCTTACTAATTGCACATAGCGAGTGAACTCTACTTCCTCCCTGCAGATCCACAGCATCATGTACCGTTTCCACCCGTCAGTGCAGTACGACACAGCCTATCCCACCCAAGCAGAGATCAAAGAACAGATCGTCGACCTCTGGAAGCGGTATGGCCTGCAAAAACACACGACATTCAATACCCCAGTGACTTCCGTCAAACAAACGAAGAACGGCCGATGGATTATCAATAACGAGGAAGACAAGTACGGCCGCTTCGACGGCATCATCGCATCCGTTGGCGTGTGCGGTGATCCGAAAATGCCTACAATGCCAGACCAGGACCGCTTCAAGGGCGAAATATACCACTCCTCCGAACTCGACGGGAGACAAGTCGAAGGCAAAAGAGTCCTCATCGTTGGCGGCGGTGCCAGCGCCATCGAGGCCCTCGAGTTCGCTGTGAAATCCAAGGCCGCTGAAATCGACGTCCTCTCCCGATCCGATAAATGGATTATTCCCCGAAACGTCTTCGTCCAGTCCCTCCTGGCCATGAACATCCTCGGCCAGGAAACCTCCCTCTCCTGGATCCCCGAATCCCTCCTCCGTAAATTTTTCTACCGTGACCTCTCCGACATCGCCCCCTCGGGCGGCCTCTTCACCCAAACCCCCATGGCCAACTCCGAACTCTTCGAACAAATCCGCGATGGCAAAGCCCGCTGGCTCCGCGGCGACATCGTCTCCCTCGAAGAGGACGGCGTGCGCTTCAACTTCCGCGGCAATGGCGTCCCCAAAGGCGGACCCGGCCACGAAGACCTTGTCCCCGGCGACATAATCATCCTCGCTACGGGCTTCAAGCGCCCTTCCCTCTCCTTCCTCCCCAACGACGCCTTCGAAGAACCCTACTCCCCTCCAAGCTGGTACCTCCAGGTCTTCCCGCCCAAATACCCCAGCATCTGCGCCAACAACAGCACCTACGTCAACGCCATCGGCACCGTCGGAAACATGCACATTGGCATCTACACCCGATTTCTGTTGATGTTCCTGACAGACCCGCTATCCCGTCCGACCGAAGGCCGCATGAGGACCTGGATCGACTTCACCCGGTTCATGAAAAGGCTGTCGCCTGTTGGCGCGTTCGATTTTTTTACGTACACTGAGCTGTTGTATTGGTTTGTGTTTTGTATCCTGGTCAATCCATTCCGGTGGAAGTGGGCCCCCTTTGTCTTGTTTGGGGTCGGGTGGACGCTGCCGTTGGAGGTGGTCAAGCAGGAGGAGAATTTCCGGAAGGAGTTGAGACGACAGCATTAGGCTATGAACAATTGGGGTGGACTTCGTGTTAGAGATTGAGTGGATGAAAAGGTGGTTTGGACCTTAACCAACTGATGGAAATATATCATTTGGATATGGTGTTGAGGATAGTGGATGTACCATGTCCCTGATGATGATGACGACAATGATTGCTTATTTACTACTAGCTATGTGATCTATGATGACTTTCATGCAGCAATAGTGCATTGAATATAAAAAAATGAAGATTTTTAAATCCACTAAGTAGCATAAAAAGCATCAGCCTAGAAGACGGATTTACCTTAGTTGTACTACGCATGCATGATATCTGCAGTAACAGCCAGTGGCATATATATCTATACTATATGGCCAAGTCAGTCAGCTAAAGTGCTGATGGAGGCTGACCTGCTAGTAGTAGATCCACATGTGCAACGTCGAAAACGCCCGTGAAACTATTCACAATGCTTAACTCGATTAGTAGTAGTACTACTCTAGCAACAACTCCCGGTAGTACAGTAAAACCACCTGCAGTTCATAAGTCTTATTTCATATATTCCTCTATATCTTCGGATATATTTCAAAAATGTCTATACTCCAACTAAGCCCAAACAATTCACATCCACCTACCTCTATACCTATACCTATACCTACTTCCCCTTCTTCAACAGATACTCACCTCCCCACCACGCCCGATAAACCCCATACAACCCACTCACCGGCCACACATTCCACAGCACATTCCCCGCCCACTGGCCCCATCCCATCTCTGCTTGCCTTTCTTTCTCCGTGATAGATGGGTGCAAATCCACCCGGACCTTCTCATACAGATTCTTCAGGTAGCCCGCATGATACTTCTCCCGGAGGGCATCATACCGCTTCTTATCGTATATATCCCAGAACTCGTCTTCCGTGTAATACGCGCATGCGTACAGCCACTTCTTGCCGCCCAAATCGCGGACTTTGTGCTCGAGACGCCGGTTTTGGGCAATGAATTGGGCGCCGCGGTAGGGGGAGGGCGCCCAGAGGCCGAAGTTGAGAAGATATTCATCTTCTCCCTTCTCTGCTGATGGGGGAGAGGGAAGGGAGGGTTTGCCTCGGCCGAGGATTTGGGGGTTACTTGTGCTTGTCTTGTCAGTGACTTTGAGTGGACAGAGCCAGATGGGATATGCGCCGAAGTTATTTGGCTCGTCGAGCCACGTGACGAAGGTGTCTGCGGAGGAGTATGGAACAGCTACGTCTTGAATGATGTATTGATTGGAGTGGCCACTGGCGTGCAGGGCGTGGTACATGACGCGCGTGTGCATGAAGTAGTCAAGCAGGTAGCGGGTGATGCGGTTGAAGGGTGTTATGAAGTATTTATAGGCGTAGCGGCCGGTCCAAAAGGCACCGCGGTCGTAGCGGAAGAGATAGTCAGGAAGGGGTACGAGCTCGGTCGTTGGTTCTACGGGGGCTGATGATGGGGGCGGTATACGCCCCGAGCGTTGAGCATGAAGATAGAACCAGGGATCGTGGGGACGGGTGAAGTGTTGAATCTTGTAATTTTGTGTCTTGTCGTCTGTGGAGGGGGAACCATCGCTCAGTCGCCCTGCGCATACCACTACATGGTCCTTGGCGAAGACTATCCCGTCCAGGTAATCAACATCAGGGTCCTGGGTCTTCTCATTGAATATCTGCCTCGCATCACTGATGCTACGAGCCGGAATATAGGACAGTTCGACAAACGGCTTGGCGTCACGACATTGGATCTTCAGCATGGTGATCACGCCCATGGTACCGAACGCGGAAGCTGCGGCATTGAACAATTCCGCATTTTCGGTGCGGGAGGCCATACGAATCTCCCCATTACCAAGGATTATCTCAATGCGAGTCACTGTGGCATCGAAGAAGCCATGTCGGAACGAACTGCTCTCGCCGGAGGTGCCGGAGAATCCGCCGCCTGCGGTGATGCCGGGAAACTCCATGACGACTAGCGGGACCAAGTTATGGGCAAGTGTGGCATTCAGTAGAGCATCCATTGGGACATTGGGCTCTACCTGAACGGTTTTGGCAGCATGATCAACGGAGAGGACGTTCGTCAGGTGGGCAGTACTGATGGTATTGGTAGGGGTGAGGCTGGCATTGCGGGTGGAGTTGGTGCTTCCATGGTATATGCGGAAGGGAGTGCAGGTTTCGTGAAAGCGGGCGATTTGGGCGCAGAGAGGAGTGATGCGATCGGCGTGGGTAGCCATGGTGAAGAGGAGGGAAGTGGAATGGAAGGGTAGGAGGGATGAATCGCGGGACTCGAGTTGAACGTGCGGAGATCCGGATAAGCTGGGGCCAGTTTGGCGGTTGCCTGGTGCGGGGATGATATCATAGCCAGGGGATGGTATGATGGATCACCAACCTCCTCCATTTCCTTAATTTTCTATCACAATCCGCTGCTCCAAGCGCGGCGAGATACCCGGTGTCCATGTCGGCGTGAATTCTCCAACTTCATCCGCGTCATTAATGGGTGATGGCTGCAGGCCCGTCCGGTGCATCCACGTTCGCACCGCCTTGCGCGCCAGACGCAGGCGGCGTTCCTCCTCGGTAGCTGACCGCGCCGGCAGAGTAACATAGTTCGTAGTCGGACGAGGAGAGGTAAGAATGTCGGGGTCGGTATCGGAGTCCGAGTCCATCGACTCGTCCTCCCCGTTCAGGCCCACACCTCGACTCCCAGTCTCCTCGGTTTCTACGATCTCGGGAAACCGACCATAATAGTAGTTCTTCGACCGCGACAGAGGGGGTCGGTATGGCACCTTGTTTGATTCTGGAGACGGCTGGCGGGACGGCGGTTTCAGCCATCCATTGCAATGGAGGCTATCATGCACGTTGCTCCAGTGTCGGGTCATGCTGGGACCCCAGCGACGCCATCGACCCAACACTCGCAAACTCAGGAAATACTGGCGGAGTAGCGTGCTGATCAGGATGCCACTCTCTTCATCTACGATCTCTTCGACTTCGCCGCCCTCTGACTGCACCAGTAGAGACGCAAACCCGTCCTTTCCACGGGCCATGTATCCGCGGGTTGCCAAAGTGTACTGCCCATCGAAGTCAATCGGCTCCCCACCGACCTGGGCCCAGTTGATGCGGGAGCCCGAAGGGGCCGAGGGGTTGTAGCTAAAAGCAATGTTCGACACCTGGGTAAACCGTCCTTCGAGCGCCGGAAGCTGGCTCACTCCATTCTCCAGGGCATCGAAGAGCGCACGGCCCTTGATGCGCAACAGTACGACCGGATCTTCGAATGGGAAACAGTTGAGGATGTCCTTTAGTCGCAAGATCCCTGGCGGGTAAATCTGATCACCACGTATAGTCCCGCCAGCCATTATCGCACAATCAGCCCCGTAGTAAAACCGCATGAGGTCGCATGCAAAGTTCCCAAGATTGGACTCCTTCTGACGCACAGTCGAGAAGCGGCCATCAAGTGCGACCGTAGTGTACCCAATCGGCTTCTCCAGTTTCGCCGCCAAGCTAGACGTCAAGCGATCCACCATGGCCGTCGTTGTAGGATCCTCTGGAATCGACCGAACGATATCCCGGCGCACGATACTGAAGTCCCATCCTTCACCGTCCTCCTTGCGCCAAGCCTCGATGTAGCTCAATTGCTTGAAGTCCGTGCCCGACCGAAGTACATGAGTACCATTGATCACCGCATGTGCATAAAAATGATCATGGCCACCCAGGATTATATCAATCATACCCGGCGGGAGCTTCTGAGCCAGCTTGTAGTCGTTCGGTTCGCGTTGGTGGGTGACCGCCACAATCAATTCGGCGCCTTGTTCACGCAGACGCGGGACTAGCTCCAGCGCCGTCTTGTACGCCGATTTGTAAACGAGGTTCGGAGGAAGGGCATTGATCGTTCCAAGCCTGCTCAAAATTAGTCTATCTACCCCATGTATACCATAAACCAGGCAATCAAACATACCATTCTCTCTCACCCAAACCAATCACACCCACCTTGATCCCGTTAGACGAGGTCAACATCAATGTCTTCTCGCAGTTCGCAATCGGCACATCCTTTCCCAGATCAAGATCCAGAACATTAGCCAATAGCCACGGAAACCGACACTGTGTACGTAGATGGCGAAACTGAGCGACACCGAAATCGAGATCGTGGTTCTGCGGATAACCATGTCAGCTTTTCTCCAGTGCAGCACGGGTTGTATTCCTAACATACACCAACACAGGCTACATCCGTCCCTGCTTTATTCAGGAATGGCACCATGTGCCGCCCTTTTGTGACAGTGCTTTCGAGACTGGGGTTGTAGGCATCGCCGGAGAAGAAGGTCAAGACGTTTGGTTGTTCGGAAAAGGAGGGGTCGTTGCGGTAGTAGTTGACGACGGATTGGAATCGGGCTACGCCGCCGACTGGTTCTGCGGATCCTTCTCTGAAGAATTGTCAGATTTTTGCTAAAGAGGTGTGTAGGAAGCTATTGTGTAGGGATTGGGGAGCATACTCCACGTGGTAGACGTCATTGTAGTGGATCAGACGGAGGTGCGGCGGACCGGTCCTGGAGGAAGGATGGGTGACGGACAGACCGTCGGTAGGGACAGAGGGCATTCCTTGAGTGATGATAATAATGACGAGTATAGTAACAATAGAAATAACGACGGACAGAGCGATAGAGTGTGTAAATGGGAGGAAAGAAGGCAAGAGAAACAAAGAGGGAGGATGAGGGGCGAGTGTTGAGGGGCATCCATCCAGGCAAGGGACGTCACGGGTCCAAGTCCAATCAGGCACCGCCCATTAGGAGAATGCCGATCGGATCGACGGCATGCCCGTGCGGAGTGCCTGAACAACAACATTGTGACCAATCTCACAGCATGATTACTATCATATAGCTCCATACAATCTATACACAGTATTCGCCACTATTTCCTCATCAGCCAACAAAATACCCCTCCGTCCCTTCGTCCGTTCTCTCCACCTTCAATTCCGCCCACTCAACCCCATCCAAAACCGCCACTCGTATCGGCACAATAGCCAACTTCTCCTTGACAATCTCCTGCTTCTCCGGCGGAAGACTGTCCACCACCGACTGCGGCGGTCCATGCAACTTCATACCCACTTGCACACCGCATATGTTGCAGAATTGGTGTCCGGTGAAGCCCCGTCCAAAGCAGTACTCAGTCAAGCTCTCTTCGCCGTGGAGAGTAACCTGTGATCGGTGGGGATATATGCAGATGTTTGCGTTCTGAGATACAAGTTAGTGAGGACTCATAATAAGAATGATTGAGATGAAAGGTAGGTGATATATACCCGCTGGCAAATACTGCAATTATCCTCCTTCACTTCGATCTCCAGTAGTGGCTTGGTTTGGATGGAGAGACGGACTGCGCTGCAGTGGCAGCTGCCGGTGTAGATCTTCTCAGATGGGGTTTCAGTGTCGATGTGGGTGGGTTCTGTAGGAAAACTACCGTGCGATGTATTGTGCGGAGTATAGCTAAAAAGTTGAGTCTGGTATAGTCCCCAAGGCATCTGTATGTTTGAGAGCGAGCTCACCTCTCAACTCTCAACTTGAACGGATTTACCCCCAACAACGCCCGCGCCTTCATCCATACCAGTCAGTCAGTCAGACAATTGATAGCCTCCCCCGGAGCACACGTCAAACCACTCACATTAACCCCTAATCCAACCTCCCCGGACGGCATCTCATGTCCACGAACCAATATTCCCGTTCCACAAGTCGGGCAGAACTACAGTAAGACACAGTTTAACATTGTTTAAACACCACCGGAACCTCGCATCGCTACTTACCATATGCTCTCCATGAATCCCATCACCAGAGTAGCAAACCAACTCCCCAGCCCCCCGTGTAACTTGAAATTCTTTTTCAGCAGGGAAAAGCCACAGGTACCCCTTCTTGGCACAGAGGGTGCAACGACATGCATGCACTGTTTTTAAAGGGTGGGAAAGATGTAGTTCAAATTGAGATAGGCCGCAATGGCAGGTTCCCTTGTATTGGTGGGTGTCTGGGATAGGGATCATTGGGGGGTTGGTTAGTCGGACGGGTTTAAAAGGCCAGGGTAGTTAGATGATAGTGGGTGGCAAGGGAGCAACTAATAAGTGCAATCTTGAGGGGTTGCCAGATGATATATGATGAGAATAGCATCCTTGTGAACAGGTGGCTGGCTTATCATGGAAGGATTGATTGGTTCCCCCGCTTGTGGTGGCTTATCGTCTGCTTACTGGTCCCTTGACTTTCCATCACCGTGTGGTTGTCAGGTAACGAAACGAGTGAAATTGAACGGTATCGATTAAAGCATTAAGTAAACACATGTAGATCCAGAAGGAACGCATGGGGATAGATCAACTCACAAGCCGGCGAGAGCCTGGTGCGCGAAGAGGTAGCCACGTAAAAAAAAAAAAAGCATGCCACGATCAAAGAGACATAGAGCAAGAAAAACATAGACATCGTATGCTTTTATCGAAGCAAGGGGGTATTTCATCAGTCATCATACTCTGTAAGTATCCAACAAGAATACTTCTACTCATCATGGGGCAGTCATAAATCATCATACCATACAGCGCGCGCTGATCAAGCCCAGGAACCTCTTCGCGAGGTGTCAGACGCGCTGTCAATCCAGCGGAAAAGATCGATTCCATCGTCCAGAACAACAATCTCTCCGTTCAACCAGTTGGTTGCCAGAACATCGGGCGGCAGAGTAGCCGGCAGTGCGGGAGGATTGACCGATAGGATGCGATCCAGGATACTCGAGATGACCCTTCGCGCGCGCTGACAGACCTCATACATGCCATCGTGCGGGCGGACAACATACTGCAGGTGCGAAGCGAAGACAGTCAGTTTTTGGATGACTTCCGATCGCCGGAAGACGCTGGCGGGAAGCTGGGACTGGGATTCGGCTTGGCAGAGCAGCTCGATTGCTAAGACGCCGGCTGCTGGGACACCGAAAGACGCAGCCTAAAGATAGGTAAGTACGAAAGTGCAGGAAGTGCAGGAAGCGAAGGGGTGACAGCACGCACATTATATCCAACATTGTAAGTTCCTGTTCTCGAGCCGATCTCCTTGCCGATAAGCTCCAGGATCGTGCTGAGAATGTTTTGTGACACACTGACCAAGCCCTCGGATCCGCTTTGTGCCCGGCGCACGAGAACGCGGTAGAGGAGGAAGTCATTGTAGAGGAAATTAAGATACAATGGAACGAGAACGCTGCTATCGTTGGTGTCCGGATCACTCGGGCGCCAGCGGAGGAAGCCAGGCAGGTCGTTCCATGTCTTATGAGATTGCTGCGAAACCTCCCTATAATGCACATTAGCTCCGATCCGCAGTCCTCAAATACCTGTTGCGGCACACTTACTGGACTTTGCGCGGCAAATCCTCAATACGTCGGCTCAGAGACAGCTCTAGGATCTGCTCTCTCGTAGATCCAATAAGAAGGGCGATGCGCATCCACGCAGCCTGTCCCACAATACCCTGGGTGTTCCAGCCAGTCTTGTCAAGTAGGCTGATGGCAGCCTCGCGGACCTTTGGCTCCGCCAGTATCTCTTCGTAACTCAAATCTAGAGGAAACTGCACATCGTAGTAGCGCCAGCTGATCTGAGGAGGCCTTCCCAAGAAGGTTGCCAGCTGCTTGTCAATACTGTAAGCCCCGGCAACTAGTCGCTTGCGGAGTTCAAGCAAGAAGAACGGAATACGTTTCTCCTCAGGCGCATTATGACTGAGCGTAAACACTGTCGTCGAAAGATCGGCCAGCCTTCTCCAAGCCCGAGGATCTATATCCTGATTAGCACAGTCCCCCAATACCCCCCCCC